TCTTTCAAGCCTGGATCGATCGCTGCGAACGCGTGATTGAATCCAATGGTGATTATATTTAAATAAACTTTATATATATGTAACTTGTTTATTTCTATTCGCAGTATTCAGGTTTGTGCTAAACACACCTTTGGACACCCTATATTTATATTGCATTCCAGTGAAAGGGAAAACAGAACAGGAAACAAGAAGAGCTATTCAATACTTACTAGATCATGAAAGAGTAGATAATATCAGGGGTGATGGTGATAAAGGATTTCAGGCAATTATGATTCATTATTTCCCACAAATTAATTTTTACTTCTCATCTTCTCCATATACGTTTCATAATAAAATAGTTGATGCGGTAATGAGAACTCCTAGAGATGCGTTAGGGGTTAACGGTCAGATATACTGGGATGGAAATCATGACTCCATCATACAACAGTTAGTATATTATTACAATAATACATGGCATAGAACTATAAACATGAAACCAGTGGAAATGAAAAATGATATTTCAAAAGAATGGGAATATATTAGAAAACAAATGGAAAGGTTAAATGATGTTAAACGTGAACAAATTAATTCGGGGCTCATGAATTTTAAACAAGGGGATAAAGTTTTGATTCATCTCGATTATGGAAAAACTGATAAATCAATGACAAAAAGAAGACGAAGATTTGACACAATAGCTGAATTTGTTAGATATATTAACGGCAATGCATTAGTTGAAGTTGACAATAAATTAATAGAAATTCCGATTTATTTTATTACTCTATTATATTTAAATAATATTTAATTTTTTTTATTTCGTAAGAAATGAGTGACAACAAAGCAGTCAAGAGTCCAGACGATGAATATAAAAAGAAACTAAATAGAATTAAATCAAAAATATGCTATTACAAAAAGAAGCCGCAATGTGGTGGGGTTGAAAACGATAAAGAAATAATCGAAAAATTAGAAACTTACCGTTCAATCCTTAAACTGAGTGAAGCAAAAATAAAAGAATTTAATAGAATAAATAAATTGATTGGAAGAGATGAATTTAATAAAGATGAATTTTTAAACTCAATCCAAATTTAATTTTTATTCCTCTTTGACAACATCTCTCTTTCCATCATTACTGCATAACCGCATTTTCTCAGTTTTAGTGGTTTGTTATTTTTAGCAAGTTCTCGCATCATTTTTATCGTTTCCTCCCTTGTTATGATTCGTGGTAAATTTTGAGCTTGTGGGGTATCCATTTATGATAAAAATAAAAATTTAAATTATGCCGTTCTAAAGTTTGAGACAACATGACATTTAGACAACAGTCCCGGAAATGATTTGTCATGACTTCATCGTAATGAGTGTAAATGACCCAAAAATAATGTTTTCATTAATGGATTCAGGTTATTCAATAATGAATTATTTTTGAAGAACTGAAGGTGTCACTACGTCACCATGTGTCACTCGGTTATTTAACTTCTCTGAAAAAATGAGACAACATGACATTTAGACAACACAGGAGGATTAATGAGGAAGGCACTTATGAATTATTTTTGAAGAACTGAAGGTGTCACTACGTCACCATGTGTCACTCGGTTATTTAACTTCTCTGAAAAAATGAGACAACATGACATTTAGACAACACAGGAGGATTAATGAGGAAGGCACTTATGAATTATTTTTGAAGAACTGAAGGTGTCACTACGTCACCATGTGTCACTCGGTTATTTAACTTCTCTGAAAAATGAGACAACATGACATTTTGACAACACAGGAGGATTAATGAGGAAGGCAAAAATAAATTCCAATCATACTTTATAAAGCTTCATTTACAGGTATTTCATCGTCAGTAAATGAATCCTCATTATCGTTTGGTTCAACCTGTTTATATAATCCTTTCATTTCTTCTTTCAAAACATAACACCATGTTTGTTTACCATCTATTCTTACCTGTTTCTTATCACATTTATCCCTAATGCTCATTTGGAAATTCTTGTCTTTCATGTCTGATGGTTTGCAGAATAGAGCTTTTTTACATGTCATACCTGCACTCAATTCATCATAATGTGTATTTATCCATACATCTAAAGGATTTGTTGATAACTCGATTAAATCTTGTTTGGCTTCAGTCATCGGAATGATTCGTACATTAAACGATGAAAGGTCATATTGCATAAAATATGTTAAAAGGTTATCATAAAATTCCTTTGCATGAATCCATTAAATTCTTGAAGTAATCAAATTGACCCTTGAATTTACCATTAACCCTTAAAACTACGTATCTTCTGTCTCCAACTTCAATTTTGACAGGGTAGACGTTGTTAGTTACGAAAATGAAGTTTGCAACGTTCTGAGCAGTTCTTCTGGGTTGATTCTTTTCATTAATTCTAATCTCATTATCCGTTATAATTGATTTCAAAGCGTTGAAGTTTGCAAGTCTGTCTTCACCTACATTCTTGAGTTCATTAAGTACAAGAAACATTTTATTTTCAACTACTGAGTTGAAATTATCCGTTAGCTCACTTATTTCAGTAATGTTTTTACATGAATAACCAGGGAGAAGTTCAGAAATAATATCTGTAAATCTGTTTTTACCTGTTCCCTGAAGTTCTTTCAAAATAATTGCTGTTTCATTCTTGATTCCAGGATGTTGAATCATTGATGCAATCCAGCCCAGAAGGTATTTATACACTTCATCGTTATTATCACAAATGGCTTCTTTAATGAAATCCATAAACATCTCAATTTTTGAGTAATCAGGCTTTTCGAGAATGTTGTATTTATAACCCTGAAACGTTGAGAAAACATCTGGAGAATCAGATTTAAAGCAAACACCCTTAACGGTTAATGAGGATAATTGATTTAGTAGTACATCCCATGCTGTTATTGTTTTACCTTCTTCTTTAAATAATTTAATCATTTTGAGTGACTCTTTCATGTTTGATTGAAGAACGAATGATATTTGATTCATTTTGTCGTGTATGTTGTAATCTTTCTGAATGAAATATTTGTTTCCACAATCTACAAAACGGATTACACGTGATAAATCCTCATTACTTCAGAACTGTTTTTATACTGATGATTTTCAGCCTTGCGTCTAATATCTGTTATCAAAAACGAGTCATCAAGTTTGATATCAAATGTTATTTTTGGCTTACGTAATAAAGGTAAAACATATTCATCATAATATTCCTTTTGATAAAGTTTTAGAATCTTCACCAAAACAAATGGAGAAGTCATTAAATGTGCATATCTACTACGTGCTTTTTCAAAATTACTTTTTGCATTTTCTGTTAAATTGCAGAAGTTATAAACGTTATCGTATGCTTCATTAATTAAATGATCCGGTAACGAATTAATAGCTTGAAACAGTGTGAATAATGTTATTTCTTTTTCTAAATTCATGTTTCCACCGTCATTATGTACTTCAAAATCACAGATGCCATCAACTATGCTCTGGGCAAGTTTATCGTCAATGTTTACATCTTTGTTTTCATTCATTATACTCTTTATTTCTTCATTCTTCTGTTCAACTCTTACCTTAATATTCAAATCATTTAATATATCGTTTACTGTTCTGTTAATGTTGAATCATAACTTCCACGAATGAATGAGTATGTATTGATTGGTTCTGTTGCATTCTTGCGAACTCTTGAATTCAGCCATAACCACTAATGAACGCTTTGAATCATCATAGAAGTCATTATGTCAATATCATAATCATTGCAGAATAACATTTAATCATTCTGTTCGAGTGAATAGAAGAAATTAGTGTTGCAATAAATGTGAAGACCTCCTGATGCGGTTTTAACGATAACATCTTTATCCGAAAGTTTTGATAAAATTCTTTTCTAACTGTTTCTTTAAGTTCATCATTGTATGATTTATTGATATCAACATCTATAATCGTTAAATTTGAATTTTATTTACTAATAAAGCCATACCAGTTTTCCTTCCTCTTCCTCCATCGTGTTTGAGGTAGTTATGTAAATCAATCTTGTTTTCACCAATTCTTTCGTTGAGGGTTTTAGTTTCTGCCACAACTAATTCCTCAGCTAATGAATCAATAACTTTTTCATCAGAAACGATATAGTTGCTGTTGTTTGTTGCTGTCATTTATATAGGAATAAAAAAATAAAAATAATTTTAAAACTAACTTTATTTTTGGGCTGATCAAATTTTCGTAAATGTTGTCAAAATGTCATGTTGTCTCATTTTTTCAGAGAAGTTAAATAACCGAGTGACACATGGTGACGTAGTGACACCTTCAGTTCTTCAAAAATAAGTCATAACTACCTTCCTCCTGTGTTGTCAAAATATCATGAGTTAAATTACCTGGTGACATGGTGACACCTTCAGTTCTTCAAAAATAAGTCATAACTACATTCCTCCTGTGATGTTGTCAAAATGTCATGTTGTCTCATTTTTTCAGAGAAGTTAAATAACCGAGTGACACATGGTGACGTAGTGACACCTTCAGTTCTTCAAAAATAAGTCATAACTACCTTCCTCCTGTGTTGTCAAAATATCATGAGTTAAATTACCTGGTGACATGGTGACACCTTCAGTTCTTCAAAATAAGTCATAACTACATTCCTCCTGTGATGTTGTCAAAATGTCATGTTGTCTCATTTTTTCAGAGAAGTTAAATAACCGAGTGACACATGGTGACGTAGTGACACCTTCAGTTCTTCAAAAATAAGTCATAACTACCTTCCTCCTGTGTTGTCAAAATATCATGAGTTAAATTACCTGGTGACATGGTGACACCTTCAGTTCTTCAAAAATAAGTCATAACTACATTCCTCCTGTGATGTTGTCAAAATGTCATGTTGTCTCATTTTTTCAGAGAAGTTAAATGACCTGGTGACACATGGTGACATAGTGACACCTTTAGTTCTTCAAAAATAATTAATTATTGAATGACCTAAAAACCATTAACGTAAACATTCATGAAAACATATATTTCTGCAGTTCATCCATTACTTCATTACCTAATTAATTACAGACATAAAATATATTTAGTTCATTCAATGAACGCGGTACCATGCGAATACAGTCATAAATGGTGGCATGTATTCTTTACCCAAGCCTGTTGGATTTGTTGTGAAAGTGTGTGAATGATTTCCTCCTGGTTCAGTTGGTCGAAAAGTCTTTTTTGCCGAATGGTTATAATCTGGAGATAAAACGTCATTGCCAGCATAATATTCTGAGTTGTATAATGGGTGGTCTCTTAATGAGTGACTATGGTCGCCAGAAAAGTTTGTAGTTCCTGTATGAGTGTGCGGTGGAAGGTTTTCAATATTTATTTTCTTTGAACCTCCTGTTTCCTTTGAACTGTTAGCACAATACAAAAACCTGTCAACTATTTGTTCCCATGCACCAACACCAAACATTACTTGAGGACCTCTTGCATCCATAGATGTATAAATAGAACCTACTGGGTTCATTAAATCAAACATATGAGATATTATAGGATTGTCTCTTTTGAACTTAAAATATAGTGCAGCTATTTCAGGTTTCTTCTGGTTTGTGTCAGAATATTTTTTATAATATAATCTTATGTTTTCAGGGTAGGTAAAATCTTGACTATAATATTTATTTCTGTCATCTGTATAATAATATACTATTCTCGTTTTTTCTATTGCATTATATCTTTTATATCTATAATATTCTAAATATAATGTTTGCTTTTTTGGGTCTACATGTGGTGTTCTGTCGTCATCTCCATAGTCATAATAATATGGTGCTGGAGCTGGGTCAGGCAATGTCATATCTGCCATTTCATAAACTCTTAAATATTTCTTTTGTTCGTCTCCATATAAGTTTAAGTAGCAGTTGTTGTCTAATGGAACTTTAACTTGTGTACCATTATTCTTTATATAGCCTACATACATTTCATTGTTATTTTTCGGAATGAGTTTATACCGTATACCATTTTTTAAGGAGTGTACAAACTCCCATCTAAAATATTTGTTTTCTTCATTGACAGAAAAGTCACCAACAATAGTTTCAATATTTTTTGTTCCTATCAAACTTTGGTATATTTCGTTAACATATGTTTTATCTGCCTTCTTCATTAACTCATCGTTAACATATGTTTTATCCGCTTTAAGGTCTAAACATCCTGAAACCCATCCTGTATCAGCTTTAGTTTTTAAAATCTTTGATGTCCATTCATGATACCATTCAACCATTTCTTTAATTTCATTATCTTTTTCATTATCTTTTTCATCCACATATTCCTTATCTGCCTTCTTATTTAACTCACTATCCACATATTCCTTATCCGCCTTCTTATTTAACTCACTATCCACATATTCCTTATCTGCCTTCTTATTTAACTCACTATCCACATATTCCTTATCTGCCTTCTTATTTAACTCACTATCCACATATTCCTTATCCGCCTTCTTCATTATGTCATTTAGGAAACCTTTTATGAATTCCTCATTTAAATTAAATCTTCCAATCTTCAAAACTTTAGGAAATGCATTTAATGCGTAATATCTCTGTTCTTCTGGTGGAATTGATGTTATATCATCCGTTATACCTTTAATTTTTGAATTCATAAATAAAATTTCTTTTATATTTGATATCACTGCACCACCTTTGCAAACGAATTCGAAATGGTCATTTTTCAATACTATCTCCAAATCTCCATATTTCAACCTTTGCGTTTGTTCTGCCGTCTTTGAATTATATGCATATATGGCGTATGTAATGGTTTGAGGGACCTGGGTGTTTTGTGCCTTAAGTTGCTGTGGTTGCTGTTGTTTAATCATTTATTATGATTTAAAAATAAATATTTAATCGTTATCTCATCAGCTATTTTTTCTATTTGAAATTGCCATAATATTTCATTCATGAATTCTAAATCACAATCAAATAGGTCAGTTATTCTAAATTTAATATTTGATAAATCTTTTGAATGAAGAATAAATGAATTCCCGGATAATTGAAACGGATATGATAAAGAAAATGTGTTTAAGTTGATGGATAAAATGTTTTGTATTGATGGGTAAGAGTTAGGGTCTAATGTTTGATGTGAAAATCTCATTGGGGTATTAACTTTATCACATTTGATTAAAATGAAATTGGAACCAGTGTCAGAATACAAAACATCCCCAACATCTTTTTCAAAATTTAATATCCCCAACAATGAACGAAGATGAGGAGTACAAAATTTAATTTTCAGCGGAAATTTAATAAGGTTATTTATTTCATCAAGTTCAAAAAGTTTATCGGGTTTTGATTTAAAATTTTCTTCATACCATACGATAAATGATTCATTTAAATAACTTAAAATCATGTTAATATCCCATTTCGCTATCACATTATTTATATACATATCATACGTTTTTTCAAGGTCATCTTTAATAAATGATATATAATCTGAAGGGTCTAAAAGAATGGGATTAAATTTACCACTCACAGAAACGAGAGTAACATTATAAATTCCGCTAACTGTTAAATTTAATTCACAGCTATTATTCGAAATAATATTGATAATTGACATTTTTATTACGATTAAAAATATGGTAAAGCGTTATTTTCCAGTGATAAATAAAACTAGAATAAGATTACCTCAAGAATTCATAAATTCAACGAATAAGAAATTCATTCATGTTATAAATTTTAGTGTTTTCAGAAAATATGAGTCAATGTCATATTCATCAACGGTTATATTTCACTTCATTCAAATTTAGTTCAATCAAACCCATATAATGACCATTTCATAAGATTTTCAGATGGTATTAAAAATGTAATTGATAGATTAAAATATGAACAGATTGACAATATCGAATTTTTGGAATTTTGGTTTAAATATCCTGATGGAAAAAAGATTGAAGTTAAAGATAAAGCTGATACTATAACAAAAACAATTACAATGACCGATCCAGATAGTGGGGAACAAAAAGAAATAAAACAAACGATAGAAACTGGTGAAAGGTCAATTATTATTGATTATGATTCAAAGGATTATTATTCGATAATGTTAATGCTTGAATATTAAATAGCCTTAACAAAGAATTTTTCAAGTGATATTTTATATTCATCAACTATTTTATTATAAATATCATTATATGTTAAATGAAGTTCAGTTGTTGTTCCGTTCTTTGATATCTTAATTGTGCTAATATCCTTTATAGGATTTATTTTTGCAACTGTTCCGCAGCATGAAACCTCATCATCTATGAAAAATTGAATCTTAACGTCTGAATCTTGAACATCACAAAGAATGGCGATAATGTGAATTAATGATTCATAAGGTAAAATAATTAAACCAGATTGGTCAATTAAATTTATTATTGAATCATAATTATTAATTATTATATCACGGTAAATTTTCATTAATTCAGAATTAATGTCTATTTTATATGGCGCATTGCGACTGGAATCGTAGATTCCTGGGTTCTCGATGTTTGATGAAAGAGGTGGGGGGTATGTTGGATAAGTGGGAATTTCAACAGGTTCTTTACCGGGTTCAGATAAAATGATTGGGTCTCCATCTTCTTTATTTTGCTCCTCCTCTTTTCTTGGTAAGTCACGAGTTAATAAATTTGGACTGTGTTGCTGACCTTGTTAATTCAGGGCTAACATTAACTTTAACATTTTGAATAATTCGTGATTTATCATCATTTACGTTATAACCAACCGTAATCTCTGCTTTTGCGTTTGTGTTCTTTTGACTTGTGAAACGTCTTCTCATTTATAATTGAATAAAAAAAAGAAAAATATATTTAAAGTTTTATTTAGTTGTTACGGTAATATCCCAAGGTTCATCCTTGTTTGCTTATACTTTCTTTGTAACTGCACCAATTATGTTATTGATATTGCTTTGAGTTTCTTCCAGTCTTATTTTATCATTTACAATATCTTTAATCATTTCATTACATGCATTCTTAAAACCATCTGATTTTTCTAATTTACGTCTATCACTTTCTTTAATTAAATCAAAGTTATAACCTTGTTGAGAATAAAGTGGTTTCTTTATCAATTCCTTGAACGCTTCTGAAAGTGAAGATGAAGAAATTCTTGCCACTTGAATTGGTTTAAATTCTGCTTTCATTGCTTCTTTCTGTTCATTGAACACTGGATCGAATAAAGCAACTTTAAAGAATTTCTTAGCTGGAATTTCAGGTCTAATATTTGCATATTGACCATCAAACTGATTAACATATCGTGGTAATCCATCCGGTCCCTCTTCAACAGCATTTAATTCTTCATTGAAATAAGAATATGGATTATAACGGTATGAATTAATTGGACCATTTTCACTTTCTCCAATGTATTGTTTAACAGCTTTTCCATTTTCATCAAATTTCATAGGATAACGTTCATTATATGCTTTACGTTTAGGATAATCCGTCATTGTTAATTTATAACCATTTATGACTTTAATATTACCTTGACCATCAGTAACGAAAACTTCATTTATACCATCAGGTTTTCCATTTGGACCCGTAATGTCTGCTTCATGTGCTTCCCAATTTGGTCCATGACGTTTGGCATATGCTTGAGCTTCTGGTAATGTTAAAACGTTTCTCATTTGTTTAACATCCTTTTGACGACCGGCAACAATGTGGACTAATTCTTTCATTCCGTCTGGAACTTTCATAGTTCTATTATATGCACCCTTTTTGTTTGTCCCTTGTTTTAATGGAACCTGTAGAAGATTTGCTATTTCTGTCATGTTTAATTATAAATAAAAAATAAAAATTAATTATAAAAAGTTAATCAAATTTAACACCTCCTTTATTTAAATCAACTATTATTTTTCCATGTTCTCCTAATTGTTGATATTCTGTGTAAAGTTCATTAATGCTCATTGGTAAATTCACTTGATAAAGCATAACGTTCAACTGTTGACGACTAAAACCACTGAAAATGAAAAGTGTTGATAGATTTGATTTAATGTTTGTGCTTAATGCTTTGAAATATTGAACAGCCATAAAGAATGAACACTGAATGTGTCGACATTGAGTTAATAATTGATTAAAATATGATTTCTCATTAGTTATTAGTTTTGATTTCACTGCATCATCTAGAAAAATGAGTGAATGCAAAAATTCTTTATCAAAATTTGAAATGGAAAGTGTTTCAAATAATTCATCCCGTTGTTTATCAATAATTTTATCCTCTAATCCTTGCTTCTTGATTGTATTATATAATTCTTTATACATTAAAAAGTTTTTTAAATAATCTTCTGCTTCTTCTTGTGATAAATAAATAATTGGAATTTTGATTAAATGCTTTAAAGATTCAAATGTATCATCTGAAGGTGAACCTGAACGGTTGATATAAATTAACACATGTGAATGGGGTGAAGTGTTAGCAATAATGATAATTTGTTTTAATATCGTTAATGTTTTACCTTTATTCTGTTTACCAATTGCTGCAGTGATTGAATTTAAGTAACATTCAGAATATGGAATTTTCATTAATTTTTCCTTAGATAGAGCATTTCTATTATCACTCAATGCTTCATTAATCATATCATCTACGTATGTATTATATACTCCCGCTAATTCTTCATAAGGGGTGGATGAATTTAAATCCATTTAATCAAAAATAATTTATAATTTTAAACATTTCTATTCATCAAATTTCATCATATGAACTTCTATACTGTGGTGGTGTACCTGTTGGATGATATTTCAAACCTTCATCCGGTGTCCATGTCCAATACGTAGTCCTAGTAAACCAAACCTGAGGAGGATTTGTCACCTTTGAACAGTAAGTGTCATTTACACCCTGAATGATTGGATAAGCTTTCACTTGTACTGTAACTTGTGAGTTGAAAGTTTCTAATCCATCAAAGAATATACCCGCTCCATCACGTTGAACTGGAATAGTGCATAAGAATGAAGTTTGGTCTTTCCATGTTCTAGCTAATGGCGTGCCATTATCATCATTCAGTGTCTAGTTAATGAGTCCTCGTATTCTTCCGTGCATTCATTCACTCCATCTAAATCAGAAGCTTGAAGCATACGTGTAAAGAATATGTCACCCACTGTGGTCATCGCTTGATCGGGGAAGTTTCTGGAATCTATAGTGACCTGAAGACCTCGAAGCATTGGATTTTCTAAAACTGTTCTTTGCATTGCATTCTTTGGAAATGTTAACACAACATCTGTAACATTATGAAGAGCGTATGAGAAATCTGAGCTAATACCTTCAGGAGTGATGCATCCTCCATTTAGTGAACGAACGTCAATATGTTGAGCTGGAATCATGAATGGATCTTCCTTACTAAATAAACGTGGTATTGCTTTAACTGATTCTTCAATTAAACCATATCCTGGTGTAATGCATTTATCCTCTAAAACTTCCATCTTTGTGCATGAAATAATAACGTCATCAACTGTTGCGTCAGCAGATGTAGCGGCTAAGCTTGTAATTAATTTGGCAGGAAGTCCGATTTGTTGGAATTTGCGATCATATTTTAAACATGATTCATAATCTTTTCATATATTTTCATCAGTTATCTTTTCATAAACGTAATTTTGTAAATCAGCAACTCTTAACGGGTCAATCTGACAAAATACTAAAGTATCCCTGAAAACATAATATTTAAGAATGATTTCACCAAATGATTTAGGATAATCATCGAACGCCTGAAATGCTAACAAATCATTTACCGGAATAATCATATCAAAAGTGACATCAACTTCTTCATTTGCTTTCTTGAAAACTTCTGAAGGGTCAATATATTTACCACATACTGAGTTATCATATTTTTGAACATTATTATATAACGAATGAACAAACTTTTTAACTTTCCTTTCTGATTTCGGTTTATATGTTGCAAATGCAAAAGATTCACGGGCGCAATCCATCTGAAGATAACCGGCATCACCTCTTTCAGTTTCTACTTCTAATTGTTTAAAGTTTTGATTTGATGATTTGTAACCAACGAATAAACGCATGCATTTAAAAGCGGCATCACATGTGAAAGCTTTATTTGAAACTAGAGTTGCTTTAACTTTGCGTTTAATATATGTGTCACCTAATTGGTTCACATCATGAGCCGGATTTGTAATTCTTAAATGAGTTTGTTTATCATCAAAATATGGAGCATCAGAGTCATAGCATGAACTTTCAAGTTCTCTATAATATCTTCTACCGTCATTCTTTGCGAATATTTCATTTATCTTTTCGAATGAATGAAACACATTTCCATTAATCGGTTTAGTGTTTGGCACCAAATAGTTAGTCGTCATTTATTAATAAATAAAAAATCAAAATTAAAAGATGAAAATGAATTTTTAATTTTAATGAAATAATCAACTATGGCTGCAGGTATATTTAAGAAACTGTGGGATAAAGTAAAAAGAGGAGCGCATAAAGTTTGGGAAACAATGAAGAAAGGAGCAAATTGGATATTTAAGAATAAAGAAGCAATTAGTGACATTGCTGAATCAATAACACCAAAAGCTGCCCCAATAAGAGAAATATTAAATAAAGGAGAAAAAGTTTATCAAAGACTTCAACCGATACTAAGATAAAAATAATATTTATTTATTTTTCCACTATCTACCCCTATTTTATTAAGTATTCCTTCAGCTATTCCACCAATTGCGTTACTGCTTGTGCTCCCATCGCCGGATTACCTGCTTTAGTACCTAATACCCCACCTATGATAGTTCCTGCCGTTTTCGCTACTGGTGCCAAAAAGTTTGCAATGGGTTTAATAATCTTTTGATGAACCCAACCCGCAGCTTTCTTAATTCCTTCCCATAATTTTTTAAAGAATCCTGCCGCCATTTCTGATTTAATATTAATTAAAAAATATATTTCATCACTTATATTCTAATTTTTATTTAATGATAAATGAAACCGATTTTAAAAATAAATGAAACAGAGGAGGAAGAAATAAATGAAAGTGAAAATGTTCAACAAAAAATAAACGTTGTTAAACCAATTACTGAAATAAAAATTTTTTCATCTGTTGAAGAATTTAATGACTATTATGCTAACAATAAAAAATTATTTGAAGAATTGACAACGTGTAAATTGAATAAAATGTTTAAAGTTGATGGATTCAAAATTTCAAAAATAAAAGGAGTGGTTAGTTTGAAATCTATTCCTCAATCAAGAATCACCTCATTAATGAAAATAGATGATTTAACAAAAAGAATAGAAATTATTGAAGAGCGAATGAATCAGATAATTGATATCATAAATCATGACTCGTTGAGCCCGGGTCCTTAAAGCCCATCACTGAGTTCAAGGTTATATTCATCAAATATTTCATTATTAAATGCAACTTCTGCTAGTTTATTTATTTTTTCAATACGATCATTTGAAAGTCTATCGTTTAATTTTTTCTGAAGTTTTTCATTTTCTAGTTCTGAAACTTTATTTGGATGATATGTAAATTCATGAAATTCTTTGGCCTCGGTTTTGATCATTAATTTACAAAGAACTTTTGTGGTTGGAATTCGTTTGAACCATTTATTAGTTATATTCGTTATATATTCAATATCTGGAATTAATTCCCAAATTTTTGCATTTTCAATTAATTTATTATCAAATGCAAAAGCAATGGGTTTAATATTATGTTTACCTTTATAATATAAACTTTCTACATAATCATCGAAATAAACATCTACTTGTTTAACATTTTCAAGAATTGGTGAAAGAGCATCCATTAATTGATTGACGGTTACGAATCTTGATCCACTCATTTTCTTACGAATTAAAAAAATAAATTATTCAAAAATGTCAGAAGAAAATATTTAAATAAATTATTTAAATTTTTTTACTCTATTCAAGAATTTTATTTTTGATATAACTCATTGAATTCAAAATTTTTTAAAAAATTGACACCATATATAACCAGTATAAACTCTACCAGTAGAAGTTCTGCTAAAGTATTCATAAACACCTTTTTATATCTTTATTAATACTAAATTTTATTTCATACAAAAAGTAAAAATTCATAAGTTATATATTAATTTAATAAATTATATTATCATTTATAATAAAATTTTTCGAAATGCAGATAAATTTTAACATGTTCGAAATGAAACTATTATAAAATATATTCTTTTTATTAATGGTAATATAGGAATTGTAGGAATAAAAACTTTTTATAAATTATTCATAAATTTTTAAAATCGGTTTCATACAAAATAAAAATAAATTTTCATTATGTATGGGCTGAGTGTAAATGTCTTACAATTTTGAAAATTTTTTAAATCTTGATTTATTCAAAAACGTAAGAATAAAAACCGTAAGAATCATACATTTTTTACTTCATATGTTAAAAAAAATGATACAAAATCGTTCAATATTGTATGAATTCTTACGTTTACAAAAAAAGTCACACAACCCTTCAACATATACTACTACGTGACTACAAAAAACGATGAATCTAAAACCAAGTTTTTTAATATCTATACATAGTGATGAATCTATTTTTCTTATTAAAATTCAAAAAAGAGGCAGTTCGGAATCGTCCACAAATTGCCGAAGCCCTTTTTGCCAGTTTTGAATCCGCTTATTTTTATCGACCAAAATTATAATAAATATAATTTTGGAATAGTATTCTACCTATATCATTCATCAAAAAAATAATTTTTCGATATAACGGCCTAAAAAAACTTCTAAGAAAAAGCTTAGAAAATTTCGATTTTTTTCGAAAAAAATCATTTCCGAATTCATAGCAAGCTTTTTCAAAAATAATCATATCGATAGATAGGGGATAATATAGAGGTGCTTTATGAATAACTTAAAATTCGGAAAACTCAATATTCAACGAGAAAAACGCTTAACGAATCTCACTTTTTTGTAAACATCACAAAAAATTGAAAGCGTTATCTGGTCGGAAGCCTCCCTTAAAATTTTTCTTTCTTGATTTTTTACAAAATCTACTTAGAATTATGCAAAATATGACTAAATAATTATAAATTTCAAGTTAAATTTTAATTTTGATAAATAATTTAAATTTCAAAATATCAAGTTCAGTTCGACTATGTATGTAGTAATTCCTCAATAAAGTGCCAAAACCCTATTAAAATATATGAACATTTTCAACATTTTAATGTTTTTATTTAAAAATTTGTTGGAATATGAGCTTCAAACAATTATTATGTAAATAAAAATAATTAAATATATGTATTTATTCGTATTACAACCGTAGTAAGTCGATTCTTCCTTTCTTCTACTGAGTTTTGAATTTGATTTCGAATTGTAAAGAGATTCAAAGGGAAAATACTAGCGGATAAAAACTACCTCCATGAAAGGGTCATAATGGAGTCAAGTTGTATTTTTTGATATTTTTTGCTTTTCGAGCCTAAATAGGTAGCCAAGATAATGCCTAAAAATAAGGTTCTAAATTCTGAAGTTTACATGATCCTCTCGTGTGCACCCTTAAAGATAAAAGTTTTGTCAACTATAATATAATATAATATTTATTCTAATAGACCTACAACTATATTTTGGTTTGTATTGACTGTCTTCTTTGGACATAGGAAACTAATTATGAAGAATACAATGATAGTAATCATAATTATGAAGGAAACAACAATTAATCCGATCCATCCGCCTTTTATAACTGGACCGCGAACCGTATTAAGTTTAGGTTTTGGTTCATAAGGGATAATTCTTCTTTGTTTAATAATTTTTTTTGTCTATATTTGTTTCTTCATAAAAATAACGACTGAGTATAGATATACATATGACATGTAAGGGGTTTTTCATAGTTTCGCCTTATTCCAAAAAAGTGCCGATAATGTTGTGAAAAACGCTAAAGTGTAATTCATTTTATAAGGCAACAAAGCAAAGCTTGAGTACTTAGCTGCCATATGCATATCGCTTTAATATGTTATAACATTCCATAATTCAAGTAAAAATATTTGTTTTTTTCAAGTAAGCAACTTTGAGCTATTAGTAAATACTTACAATCTTTCAAGCATGGAAGTAAGCTGTGAATGTGATTACCTTTCCAAACAATGGCATGATTCATTAAAATTCTAATAGTTTTTGATGCAGAAATGCACCTCTGATTGTCGATTATGACTTTTCTTTGATATGTCACATCTAATTTTATTGTGTGAAGAAAAAAAGTTGAATTTCAAACAAAAAAATAACAAAATTCTATTTATTCTGATCTTCTTCTTCCTCTTCATAATAATAGTCTGAGTCATCATTTTTGATTGGTTTTGAGTTAGCAGATGGATCTGGAATTGGTTCAGTGCTTGGTTCAATGATAAATCTCATCAAATCAGCTGGAATTCGTGAAGAATACATGTCGAAGTTCTTTCCAAGGATTTCTGGTTTAACGGACTTCAATACAATCTCAGATTTACTTGCAATTCCGACATTCAGCCTTCTATCAATTGTATTCTTTAATTTACAAATAGTCTCCAATCTTTTTATGAGATTTAAGCAATTAAACAATGTTAAGTGGTCATAGAACTGTACAGGAGTCATCTTCTTTATCTCTTTCTTCGTTCCTGAGTTAGCAATTTTCAAAGCTCTGAATTCTTTCTTCAAACCGTTAATTTGACTCAAAACTTTGAATATGTCTGTTTGGTATTTTTTAGCTCCCCATGGACATCTTTTTCCTTCTTTCAAGGCAACTTTTATCTGTTGAAGAACGTAACGAGATGTATCCTTTGAAGCTTCTAATTTGTCTTCTTCTGGTACATAATATGACCATTCGTTCCTTGCTATTTCGCTCTTTTTCAGGCAGTTTTTGAGGGCCAAATTCGCTCCATTTTCTTTTGCACAATTCAATGTGTAAATTAAAAGTGAAGCATCACCTGAATCAGCGGCTGCTGAAATAGCTTCGTCCCACATCTTCTTATCTATCAATAAAGGAACTCCGCGAGCTTTGGATGGGCTCCTGGAAAGCAATTGATAGGCCAAAGATTCTCTTCCTTTTTCAAATGCGGCTGTTGCAAGCTCAATTGCGTCAACAGTCTTCGTCATCTTCTCATATCTCTATATAACAACATTGTCGTCGGGTTGGGAATCGATTAATTGAACTCCCCAGTTCGAAACAATAAAATCTGTTTCTACATTAATGTATTTTGCAATTCTAAATGCGCGGAAATGCATCTTCCTGTTGCATAAACGCTTAATAAGACGTTCCGCTGAGATATTTTGGAACTCATCGTATGTAATCGGAATATTATAAGGATTTCGACCGACTTGTTCGCAGATTCTGAGCGCGGCCATTCGGTTTTCGATTATTGAGAAGTCCTTCGCTTGAATGAGAAGCTCATCATCTGATGAATAGTCGAATTTCGGAGCTGGCAATTCGATAATTGTCCGAATTAAAGCGATTAATAGGGCTTTCTTCAGCTCAAACTTTCTAAAGAAGATTGATGCTGCAGACATACCTTGTATAGCGTCTAAAACCTGTTGCATTGTGTAATCTGGCAAAGGATCTTTCAATGCGAGGCCATCTTTATCAAGCATCTTCGTAAAAAGCTGAACAGCAACGTTACTCTTATCCCAAATGGCAAAAGGAAGAGCCAAATCCGTAATTGCCCTTATTAATAGGACTTCATCGCTCATAAAGATTCTGATTCCATCGGATTCCTGCGAGAAACCAATCATGTAATCGAATTCCCACTTGATACAGTCTGTTGTGGCTCCAATAAAAACAACCGTGTTGTAATGAAACAGTGCTATGGCATCGGACCCACACCATGCTATATCGGTTGGTATAAAGTCATCAAATACGGATGCATAGATAACTTCTTCCAATTTGTCATCGAAAATATAATAATATTCTTCGCATTGAACAAGGCAAAACTGGTAGTCTGGTGAAAATTTAAGACATGTAATTGGTTTCGGAAACTCTTGTAATTGCATTAAGTCCTTTTGTATTAAAACTAAGTTATCATTATCATCTCCTGCCCAAAGCTGAGGTCCTATCCTTGTATCGTTATTTGTTGGTACTGCTGCAAAACAGGAGAATACTAATTTGTGTTGACAAAACTCTTCTACGTTTAATGTAACTAAATCTCTTACAATGAATATCATATTGCTAGTTTTAATAAAGAAACCTGTGCGCCAAAACTCAACAGCACCTATCATTCCCCACTGTGTGTCAGGAAGATGATTCTCTGTAAGTAAATTTCCGCCTAAATTAAATGAAGCCAAAGTTCCGTCCGAAAAGACAACGATAGTAACTTCCTCTTGTGTAATAAATAGCGCAGTAATCTTTTTTTGGAATTTTTCAAGTGATATTTCGCAGATTAAATTTGCATAACTATCATAGACGTTTAATTGTTTATAATAGCCATCATCATTTAACATAGTTTCATGAGCCATTACTATTGCTCCTCCATTTTTAGCAACGGCGTATTTATCTGTTTTGAAATTTACATTCTGATGATAAACTGTTTCTCCTTCTTCTAATACATAGATTCTCTCTGATACAAAGCTTGTTGGGCCCATTCGTTTCACATTATTTAATGATGATGTGAATTCCTGAGCAAACTCCATAAAATCGAAATCAGAGAAAATGAATTAAATCAGAATTGAGTAACTTAAATCAGGTGTCTAGAATTAGATCTTTGTGAAATTGCTTAATAATGATTAAACTTCCAAATCATTTTTAATATTTTTGATTTTTTTCTCAATAAGCACAAATAATCTTTGAAAGAAACAGAAATAGATATAAAATGAAAAATACAATTTACAAAGAAAATAAAATAAACCTAATATTTCAAAAATATATCATAAAAATTCAAAGCAGAATTACTTCTTAGGTACCTTTCCGAGCTTTTCAACAAGCGAAATAAACAAGTTTGTCAATGATTCGACGTTATTCAAGAACTCCGCTTCAGCACCAAATGCAGTACTTTGTTTTGTTCCTGTAAGTACTTCCAAGACGTACGACAAAGCAGCATAAGCACATTCTTCCCATCCAGGTGTCATATTTTGGCATCTTCTTGGAATTACATTTTGAATCAAATCTTGTTTGTTTTGTTCGAAATCATTAGATAATAACAACAATGTTTGTAGTGTTGTTATACCTGCTTCTAATCTTCCATCCAATTTCTCAAGTTCGGCTTGATTTTCTTCAATCATTTTTGTCAAATTTTTCAGATCACTTGTCACATTTGACAACAAAGAATTCAAATCATCTAAAGGTTCAGGAGTTGCCGCTTCGTATCTAGAAATCAAAGCCTTTTGTACATGCTCGAGTTCGTTCACTGATTCATGTAACTTCTTCTTCAAGTCACGTTCCTTTACTCTTAGTTTATGATGCTCAATCACGATGTCATTAAACAAATTAATTTGAATGGCATCTTTGTATTTGAGAGTCGTTTTTGTGGACGATAACGATTTTTGTAAAGCTATCAAAGGAAAAGCCAATTTATCAAATGTTTCTGCTTCAATTCTGTATCTTTTGTTCTTTGAATCTTCACTTAGAGACACGACATCTCCGTTTGCCAAAACAAAGCTAAACGAGTGTTTTTCAGGTAACACAAAATTAGAGAAAGCTTGAACTAATGTAATGAATTCTCCATTGGCATAAACAATTGCAGAAACAGGCATTTTAACTCTCGGCTCGCATCTCTTTACGTACAACTCGAATGGGATATCGAATTTTACTGATTTGGACAGATTGCGACCTTCCTTAGTTTCAAACAATGCATTTAATGTAACAGAAAGATAACTGGCCGGACAAAGTGAAGTGACAAAATTCATGCGAAAAGTTTGTTCTTCTTGGGACATGTTTCCGACCAATATTGGCTCAACTCTATTGATTGAGAGTGGTACATCTGCGTAGCACCTTACGTTCTTCAGTTCTGGTTGGTTTGACTGGAAAACGAGTTCAATAATTGATGGAGAAGCCCTTGAAACATTTACAAAAAGTTGTAAGTGGTCGGCTGTCGGAATTTCGCTAATTCTCTGGTTAACTTTGTTCATGTGGTCTTTAAGTTGTTCCTTAGTGATACGTGGTAATGCAGGAAGTCCGAGATCTCCGGATTCGTGAGTTCCAAGATATCCAACAGATAATGTTCCTTCGAAGTCCATAAATGAGATCAAACCATTGTTTGGAGGTATATTAACGACATTTAATGATATAGGAACAACATTTAATGAAAGCTGCCAAACTTTTTTGAAATTTATATAAATACTTAATGTTTTGTCTTCGCAGCCGATAATTAGGTTGTTACAGACTTTGTTTTGTTCTGGAGATGCTTGATATGCGTAAGAACAAATCGTATTGCCGTTGTGTTTCATTAATGTCTTTAATCTGCCATTATCTGTTAAGACGGCAAGAGTTCGCTCGCCAACAATACCTATATCGAAGCTTGATGCTCCTGCATGTTTGACAACTCGTTTCCATGCATGAATTGAGACGACTTGTTCGCCAATCACGTAACTCCACTCTTCGTTGGCTTCTGCGGCTTGTTTTGCGAAAATAACGTTCTTTCTGTAACAAATAACCTTGTAATCTGCAGCAGCAAATATAAAGGACTCAAGTAACGGAATATAAGTGAAAGGACCAGGTAAAAAGAAATGAGGAATAGGATATGTATCGGCAGCATTGGCTGTTATAATGGTAAGGAATCCATCAAGTGATTGAACAATAATCGAAGGTGGAGATGTTAATCCATCAATTTGAGTTGCAATGAAGTTAAATGCTGAATGAGAGAGAATGGATGATTGTATTTCTGTCGTGACCATTGTTTTATCTGTGATTTGTAAGCTATACAACGTTATTAAATTTGGTTGAAGAACAGCAAGGGCGTATTGCTCTGGTTTTAAGAAAATACCATATCGGAGTTGTAATATAGGGTTTTTGATTTTTATTTCTGTAAATGGAATACCGTTATCTGCTTTTGATGGATAATAAAATCTTAATGTACCCGAAAAGCTGCCTGTTGCAATGAATGGTGTGTTTCCCAACTCAAAAGAAACGCATGCATCGGGACTGAACTCCTCGTTTGGAGGGATTTTTGATTGCCAGAGTTCCCTCAAACGAAACATCAGCTAAATAATGAAGATTTTAGATAAATATATACATACTATTGAGCGCTGATAAATAGTAATCAATTAATTATCGAATATTTCTTTGAATTAGAGGAAATCCAAAAATTTATAATGTTTTTTATTAACAATATTGTTGCAAATATATTATTATTTACAAACTACCCTAAATTTCATACTTTCAGCTTTAGGGAGAAATATTTTATGAAAATTCAATTAAATTATATCATTTCTGCTGAATTGGCTGTAAAATTCCTACATAAAACTGTAATATTTATTTTTGCCGATTAATTTGCATAGTTTTATTATTGCATCGGGGAAAAAGCAAAACTTGACATTTTTGTTCACAATGAATAATGACTACTTGAAGGAATATGATGACTTCATTACAGTATATGAAAAAGTTTTTCACATAGAGTCGGTAGAGTCAGTTGATGAGACTTTTGATATGATCTCAAATATTTTAATCACAAAGTATAAAATGTCATCAGGCGATGTTTTATCCAGTATTTTTCCTTCATTTGTATATAATTATAGATCTGCCTTAATATACATTCAATTATTTAATGAATTCTTAGCCAAATTTCCTGAATCTAACTCGTCTTTCGAATATTGCTATAAACTTTATGATTTAAATGCTAGATTAATATCTTATGGTATATATAAAATTGAATCAATACAAAATTCTACATTTCCTAAAGAAAATGAAATTCAATTTATAATTATGCACGATCAAATTGATAAATTTAAAGATTATATAATTCAAAATTCCTTAGAAAACATTGAAGTAGACATTATTCAATTTGAAAATCTTTCTGCAATTGAAGCCAGTGCGTATTTTGGATCAATCAATATTTTTAATTTTCTCTATTCAAGTTTGGGACAAATTATCACTGTTACTTGTTTTCATTACTCGTTTATTGGAGGAAATACTGATATTATCAATGAATGTTTAAAGTTTCATCCTATTGACAAATTATGCATGTTTTATATCATTTCATCACATAACAATAAATTTCTTGAGTATGTGTTCAAAATGAATTTATATGATATGAATTTAATTGAAGATAATACAATAATAAGTTCCAAAAACATGAAGGCCATGATCCTTATGTTGGAAAAAGATAAAAACTCAATTGTTCCATGGTTTGTTGCTTTTCCAAGAAGCACAGAAATTTTAATGAATGAAAAGCTCGATGTTTCGAAATTTTCAACAGACTTTTCTTCGATTTTGCATTATTCAACGAAATATGCAAATGAAGATGTCTGTAAGCTATTATTAAGTTCGTCAGGTCCTTATAAATTAGATCCAAATTTGAGAAATGAAAAAGGCCAAACCCCTCTCCATTATGCAATTCAATTCGATCATTTTGAAATTGCATATTTACTTATATTACACGGGGCAAATGTTAATTCAGAAGATATTTGTGGAGATACTCCTCTTCATTTAGCCGCAAATCTGAGTCTTCAAATGATGGCAGGACTTCTTATTTCACATGGTGCAAATCTTAACGCAAAAAATAAAAAAGGTAAGACTCCACTTCATTATTGTGCCAGAGTAGGTAATATAAATACTGCCGAGCTTTTAATTTCTCATGGAGTGGATATAAATGTAAAATATTACAAAAATAAAACTGCTCTTCATACTTCCTCAAAACATGATCAATTCAAAATTGCACAACTTCTCGTTGAGCATGGTATTGAACTGAATGCATTGGATATTCATAAAGAAAATGCCCTTCATTATGCAATATATAGTGGTACATCAATTGACGAACTCCTTATTACATCTGGGATAAATATTATGGCAGCAAATGAAGAAGGACAAACTCCACTTCATTTTGAGTTAATTTTCGATGGTGGTTCATTAGAACTCATTCTTGATCGGCTAAAAAGTGAAGATATCAATGTCAAAGATAAGATTGGTAAAACATCACTTCATTATTCAATAGATAATGGCAATAAGTTGTATACAAGTTTACTTATTTCAAAAGGAGCCGATGTCAATGCACAAGATAATAAAGGATTAACATGTCTGCATAATGCAGCACAAGGAAATCAAATTGACGACATTGAAATGCTTCTTTCAGTAGGTGCAGATATCAATGCAAAAGCTATATATGGCGAAACTTGTCTTGATATAGCAATGAAACAAAATTTCAATGAATTAGCGGAACTTCTTATTTCAAGAGGAGTTAATTCCTCCACATATGAATAAATTGTATTATTTTAGTTATCTTTACATTAATTTAAGTAAAAATTATTTGATTATTTTTAAAATATGAAACAGTATATTTACAATATATAACGGTTATCTTTTGATCCAAAATTATTAATAAAAACAAATATATTTCTATATCCAACCCTCTTAATAATAATAAAGATAAGAAATAGTAAAATAATAGGAATAATAAGAAATACAACCATAGATGTATTTTTATCACCCTTAATATTAATTTCTTCTTCTTCATTCTCTTGATCAATTTTGATTTCTTCATCATCTTTTCCTTCTTCGGCCTTTGCGTTATTTGTTGCTTCAGGAACCTTTTCTTCATCTCGTTTTAGAAGCTTTTTGACATCTTCTAGCTTCGGTTCGAGACATCTAACTTTACAATTAAATTTTGCTCGACTTAAATCATATTCTTTAGTGATAAACATAGCTTCTGATAAACTATCATCTATTTCTGTATCAGCTATCCATATAACTTCTGAATTTTCGTCATGAATAAAAGTTCCATGTTCTGCAGAGTTTTTCTTAACAACAGAATTCGTTATCGTTATGTTCGTACAGTTCTTTGATGAAATTACTCCACCGTCTGTTGCTTGGTTGCCTACAAAATTGCAATTTGAAAAGGAAACAGATCCATTCATGAAAGAAGCGACTCCTCCTTCATTGTAACCGGTGTTTCTGACGAAATCCGAATTTTCTACAGTGATATTCATAAGATTTCCTACAAGACTTCCGCCTTGAACTGCCTGATTTTTGTAAAATTTGTTATTTACAACTTTTCCTGAGACATTTGCAAAGAAAACTGCACCTGTTAATGCTGTATTGTCCTTAAATGTGTTGTTTTCGATGTAAACGTTCGGAGTTGCGCTGGTCGTCAAAATTGCCAAAGGAATAGAGTTTCCTCGAGGAAGACATTCATTTGTAACGAATGAAGAGTTCTTGACTGTTATAGTTCCATTCTCAAAAAGTGCGCCACAAATCGAATTTGAATGGAAATCGAAATTTGTAAGCGAAATATTAGTTATATTTACTGAAGCCAAGGCTGTTGATATCACAATTGTGGATGATATCAATTGCAGTGTTAAATGATCCATTGTTGTCTCAATTCCGTTCTGATGAGAAATTATTACGATATCTGCATCGGAAGAGAGCTTAGTTACGTTCAGATTATTGGCAATTATCCTTCCGCCTGTCTGGGAAAAGATAGAATTGACAGAAGTGGAGTCAAAAATGCCAACATTTTCTAATTTCAAAGTATAATCTGGAAATTCTTGGGTTATACATGTAGCAAGTTGTGTTATTTGGATGTTATTGAAATTAGTGGATAAAATAGATAAGTTTGAATCAGTAAAACCATATAAACAAGTTGGAGTGTAATGTTCTGTTACTTCTACATTTTTAACGATAGAAATTCCACCTCTGACAGCAGAAATTATTGGATTCTTGTTTAATTTCAGTTTTGTATCCGAAATTGTGCAATTTGAGTAAGATTCAACGGCAATTAAGGTCAAAGGAGCATTTTTGTAGAAATTAGACTGACTAATATCTATAGATGAGTTAGATGCACCGGCTATTAATGGCAATTCTATGATATTTCCTTCAAAATATGAATCTGTAAACGAAACTTTTGAAGTCATGAAGTGTAATGCCGCTCTTATGTCTTTAGACTCTATGAAATTGCTTGTGATGTTAGATTTTTCAAACGAAATCGTTGAATTTATGGCAAGAAAAATTGATTGCGTGTTTGCATTAAGATTAGTGAGTTTTACGTTGCGAATTGTCATATTACATGCGATAAATGCTAGTATTGCGCTGAGAGAAGCGTCTGTATTCTCAAAAATACAGTCTGAAATGTTGAAAACAGATCTTTGGGCATTTAAAATGGGGATTCTGAAATCAGTGAATCGAAATCCAGAAATATGGATCTGAGTATCTTCTGCATATATTGCTGCTGACTCTATAAATGGATAATTTGGCGAAACTATAGTGGTATCGTGGCCATTTATCGAAATAACTTTGTTTGTTGTTTGATTTAATATCTCTAGAAGTTCTTGTGAATTTTCTTTATCAATAAATTTATCTAATATAAAGATATTATCTCCTCTTTTAATTGTAGTGCGCAATGCTTCAAGATCACAGCCTTCTTTCTCGAAACAATTCTTACTTTTCGACTCTTTTATGTTAACATATAAGTTTCGTGCCGAAATAAAGTTAAAAAACAAAAACATTACTTTAAAACGATTATTATCAATTCAAAATTTGAATTACGACCGTTTATTTATACACAAAGAACAATTATTAGGCTCATCTTACATCAATATGATGGAAATCAAGTATGCACAAGGAGGAGATTATGAATGCATGAAGTAAAATGAATTAGATATCTATTTGATGATTGAATAAACTTTAGATAAACATTTAACCAAATTCTAGTTTGTCATTTATATCATTTAGTAGTCATGAAGTCTCTCTTTGAGCGATCTGAGAATAATATGGCTTATTAACACACTATTAGCATGGATTTTTCAGATTCTTTATATTGTAAGATTATTGTCACTTTTCAAAATTTCAATGGATTGATTTGATATGCCAGAACTCACTCTATATTGCCCCGATGAACTATTGCGTTGGCAAGAAAATGTCACTAATGATACAACTTCAATTATCGTGCATGAATCATGCAAAATCCTTGGAAGCAATTCATTAAATTATCCAAATTTAGAATCTGTAACACTTCCTGATACACTCGAAAGGATTGAAGATGATCCATTCACAAATGTGCCGCTGAAAAGTCTTTTCATCCCTAGAGATGTTAACTACATGAATGAAGCAAATCCATTTAATCTTCTCCCTTTCTTAGAAAGAATTGACGTAGATGAAAATAATCAATACTTCGCCTCCATTGATGGAGTATTGTATGACAAAGGCATCACGAAATTGATTGAATATCCTTCAAATAATCATCAAAAAACCTTTATCGTTCCAAAAAGTGTCAAATCCTTTGGAATTTACTCATTCTCAAGACATAAAACAATTGAAACAGTTGTATTGCAAGCATCACTTTCGTTGATTGATAAGCGCAGTTTCGGTTATGTTGAGAATGTAACAATAATGCTCCCACATCGAACAAAAATAAATAAAATATACAACACCACAACTTATCCTTGCAACTTATATGACTCTTCTTTCATCTATTACTACTATAAAATGGAGTCAAAAGAAGTATGTCTCTTCTCTTTTGGCTTGAAATCTTTTTTGATGTCATATATTTATGTTTTTATATTGCAATAAAAATTACAAATATATCAGGATTTTTTTTTAACTTTTCTTGATTTTGCATTTAGATTTCAAAAGAGTTGATGTCTATTCAAGAAATAGATTTAGTAACACATCACTTCATTATGCAGCAATATATGATACAGTAAAATCAGTTGTATTTCTTATTTCTCATGGAGAGGAAATTAATAATGATATAATTATGGAAGAAATACAGAACAATTAATACTTGGAGGTACAAATACATATCGAGTTAGATGGATATGATATTTGTAGTTGTTTCCTCATATAAATTCATTTGAAACAAGCTAATTTATACAAATAATTATCTTTATTTACAAACATTAAACATACTTAGAATACTATCAAATAATGAGTTCTTTTGCTTAGCTAAGATTTGAATGATTTCATGTGTGTCCTTGCCTTCTTTAAGAGATTTCGAAATAATTTTTGAGTACTTAGATGATTGTGCATATCCTGATTTAATTAAGTAAACAACTGTTACCCAATTTCCTTTTCTGGCAGCAATTTCGAGTGAATTTCCTACATCTCCACCTTTATAAAGTATAGAAGCCAACAAAAACAATCCATTCTCATTCTCACTGCATATTTCACTTGGAAGTTCTCCAATTTTTCCTTTAATATTTGGATCACTTCCTTTTTCTAATAAAATGTATCCTATATTAAACAATTTCGCATAACATGCGGCAAGTAAAGGTGATGTACCAGCAGTAGACAACAAATTAACATCGCAACCTAAAGAGATAAGCTCTTTAAATGTTTCTAAATTGCAATTTTTAGAAATTGCGAAATGCAAAATCGAAATTCCATCATCATTTAATTCATTAATATCCATCAAATTCTTTGAGAAGTATTCAAGTAATTTCAAAGGTTTTCCTTTTTCAGCATTCAACAGTTTCTCCCAAGTACCATTTCTATTCAAACGAATGAGTTTTTGGATGTCAAATTCCTTTCGATTTTTCACAAACAAATCAAATAATTCTGGGCTGTCGATTTCGAGCAATCTGAAGTACATTTCTGTCTTAGCCATTCCGCAGTAAACATTCACATCCTCATGAACAAGAAGTTGCTCACTGATTGATATCATTTCTTTTGTAGCACCTTTTTGCATCAATTTTGACAAAACAAATCTAAAAAGTCCTTTTTGTTTCAAAGGTTCTATTCCTATCATAGCTAATGTTGATGGACTCTCATTCTCTATGCACTTCTCTGCAAGATTAAAGAATATTGAGTCTTGGTCTGTGATTTCAAGTCCTTTTTCGATAAGAAACTGCAAAATTTCGAAATTTCCTGTGTTTAAAACAGAAATTAACAATTTTTTGGAGTGTAACTCAGGACAATCTTCGCCAACAAGACTCACAACACGCTGAAGAAGGTTTAAATCACCTGTTTCTGCTGTGAGAGTTAATATATTCTCGATTTGAGAAATATCTGAATTATTATCAAGTAATTTGTTGGCAATTCCGACATTTCGCATTGAAAGCGCTGCGAACAAAGGTGTTGCACCATGCGTGTTGTGTGAATTTACATCAGCACCCTTTTTCAAAAGAAAATTCAAAATAATTTCTGAATTACAAGCAGCAGCTTCGATTATTGGGACAAATGGTCGATTATCTGATAATATGTCAACTCCTTTCTCTTCTAGTTTCATCAGTACTTTGACATCGTCATGAATTATCGCGTCAACAAAAGGAGGAATTCCTTTTTCGTCGTTTTCATCAAATGGAATTCCAGAAGCGTTCAAGAGGTCCATGATTTCGGTATTTCCACTGGCACAGGCTGCATTCATGATGCCGGGGATATCTGTAGGAATATGTAATTCTTTGATCAAAAATTCGACAATTTCTAAATTTCCAAATTTGACAGCGGTATAAAGGGCTTGTTTGTTGTTTTCTTGATCTGTAAACTGCATAATGTACTTAAGAGCTTCTAATCTGTTGAACATTGCTGCGTAAGAAAGAGAATGAAAACCATGGTTGTCAAATTTGGAATAATGCTCTGGCTTCGGTGCAACTAGTTTAATTAAGTCGATATTTCCGCCTGCTGCGGCAAAGTGTAGTGCTGATCGTCCGTATTTATCTTGTTTGTCAAATTTTGGTTTCATTTCTGCAATTGCATACGAGCATTTCACTGCTGAGAAGAATGTTGTTAAGGACACAATTGTTGGGAAGCCTGAAATGATTTTTGGAAGATTATATTTATTTGTATTGAAATAAATATCAGGAGAAACTGCATGACTCATAATAATTTTGAAACGGTCGACATCGTCTGCTATAATGGAATCAAGTAGACCAACAAAATCTATTTCTTCATCCTTGCGAGAAGATTTCGGCGCCATTTTATTCTGAAATTCAAGACAAATTCAAAATTTAGGATTTATAACATATATCTATAATATTTTCATGCAATTTTTTAACAATGTTTTTGTATGACCAAATAAATGTCTATCGTTCTTGTTTGATATGAGATCAAAACATTAAGGGTGCCGGAAAGTGAAGTGAAAGCTATTATAAAAACAACACTTTTCAAACACATAAAATCATTTTTATTTTGTTTTGTTTATATGAGTATAAACCTTAAGTGATGATGTATCATAGTATCATATTCAAACTAAGTGAAAACGATGTTTATGATTATAAGGTTATCGAAAACATAAAAAAATCATACAAAATTTTTAAAATCTGGAAGGGAAAAAGTGCATTTATCTCAACATATGAGAATTGAAAATAAACTTTGTTCTGTAAAACTTTTAGTATAACTATTGAAATTTTGTGTTTAATGTATCTCACTGGCTTAAACGCAATATTGGAGGACTAGATACAAATCTAATTAAACTTTGAATGAGACCATTTCGACTGGAAACCACTACCATTGGGTTTGTTCCCTAATGGTAATTAGCAGAATCCAGTGAGATTGTAGTGCAATCGGTCTTAGTTTTGAAGTTACCCACTAATTGCATCTCGACGCTTTTTAACAAGTGCCAAATGTTTTCTATAAAATATCTAGTATCTTGTACCTAGATATCATTCCTACAGTATCAGCCCCTGCCATGGAATAACCAGGGACTAGATAGGCCCGCAAGTTCGAAAATTGCGAAACAATTTTCTTCATATTGGAAGTATCCAAGACCTCAATATCATAGAAATAAAAACCTTAGTATATACACTACTAATATATGTTTCAATATCATTAATATCTTTACTACAAATGAAGTTATGAGAAATACTCGAAATTGCGTCACCTCACTTTCCGGCACCCTTAAATCAAATAAATTTAGTGAACTTGAGAAGTATCTACACATACTATATTGATACATGTACTGCATTATATCAGTTAAAAACTGGAAACGAAGAAGAATTATGATCAATTGATTGATTCAAAGAAATATCTCTCCAAACATATTATTTGTAAGAACAAGAGTTATAGACTTTAACATATTCTTATATAATGTCTTATCAAAAAAAATCATTAGTTAATTTAAATAAAATCTTAAAAAATCCATTTTTAATCCTAAAAATTGCTAAAAATGTCTTTTTTTGCTTATGCACCAAGCTTAGATTGTGAGAGTGAAGAAGTGATGTGCATCATTCCAGAGAGTGGTGTAACTAAGTAAGTCATCTGCTTACCCTTACCCTTAAGGAAGACTTCACCTCTTTCTTCGATGTTAAAGTTACTATTTTCGATGTATTCCTTCGTAGCCTTAGAAATCTGGATACGTCCAGCGATATCAGTACTCTGAAGACGAGCAGCGATGTTAATTGGGTCACCAATGATATCGAAGACAGGCTTATCAGTACCAAGAACACCAGCGAGAAGAGGACCACCTGTGTTAATACCAATTCTAACTTCTAATGATGCATTGAGTTTAACGTTGACTTCGTCTAATTCACCTAAGCAGTCGAGACCGAAGTTGACCATATCTTTAGCGTGTGAAGCAGGATCATCTTGTTCATCGAAAAGACCAGCAGCAGCCATGTAGACATCACCGATCAGTTTGATCTTTGTGATCTTAGGATACTTCTTAACCATTTCATCGAATGCAGCGAATACAGTTGACAAGTTACCCATGATTTCCTGTGGTGTCAAAGAAGCAGCGTATTCAGAGAACTTGACAATATCGATGAAGATGATAGAAGCTGAAGGAACTGTGAATGAAATATCTTTTTCGCCACGGCCAAGTCTGACAACGATGTCCTTTGGAAGGATCTGGAACAACAATGTTTCTGACTTCTGCTTGGCATCTTCTGCTTCCTTCATCTGCTTGAGAAGCTTTGTGATATCGGACATGATGAAGACGAATGAGGAAATATCATCGGATCCTTCGTTCTTCATACCGATTAATCTGATCTGGAAGGAAACTTCGCGAGCAGAGTCTGAGATGCATGTGAACTTGTCTTCGTATGTTGAACCAGACTGCTTGTTCTTCATCAATTCCATCTGCTTCTCGAGCTTCTCGGAATCATCGGATCTGAAGAATCTGCCAATTGGCTGACCAAGTAACTGATCTGGTGTGTAACCAAGAATTGTTGAAACAGCTGGGTTTGTCATTTCAATCATTCCACCAACACCTGTGTAGATGATGCAGTCTGCGCAGTTTCTGACAACAGACTGTGAGATGGACATTGACTTGTCGTCTTCTCTTGACTTTCTGTTGAGTAAGAAGTCCATGAGTGGCTTGGAAGCGACAATGTTTGCTGGCTGGAGACGCTTGATGAGAGCGATGAGGATGACGTATGTGCCATCAGCTCTTGAGACAAGGTAAAGTGTCATGCCGACGTTAGCGAGAGCGATGACAACACCGATGACTGTGCATGTGATGTTTGTCCGCTTCATCTTTGAAGAGCGCTGCTCGACGAGATCGACCATCTTTGAGTTGATCTTGAAGAGTGTGTACCAAAGATGTCCTGTGACAATGTGCATCAAGTTGAGGGATGATGTGATGTTGACACGGCCGCCGAAGTATTCTGGTCTGGCCTGGACTTCGTTTGCGAGATCCTTGAAGACAGCTAACTGGTGTGTTGCTGAAGCGCATCTGTAGAGATCGTGCATATCAGTAGCCTTTGTGTTTGCTGTGCAAAGTTCTGCGTAGTGGAGCTTATCAATCTCTGTATCGTAACCAGAGAAAGCTGGGGAATCATCTGTACCACGGAGAAGGTATTCGTTGTTGTTAAGGATTGACTCTAAGTCTGTTGTGAATCTATCTTTGTTAGATGAGATGTTCATGAATGAGACATTTGGTGGATCTGGGCCGGACAAAACAATGACGTTCATGATTTCGACAATTGTTTCACCAGTTGTAGCTGATCTAGAAGCAGCGTAGTAGAACCACTGTGAGATCTTTGAGATTGTATCATTGGATGATCCCATTTCTTTTGCGAAGAGGAATGCTGTGACAGTGATAGCAACAGCGAAAACGAAGTAGATGATGATGGAAAGTAATGTGAATGAGTAAGCCTTGATGTTTTCAGATGATGCGTTCTGTGTAACTTCGATATCCTTTCTGATTGGTAATTTAGCGCCTTCCTTAGCTTCATCATCCATAGAGCTCAAGATCTTGAGTGTCTTGTTGACGGAGTGAACGAAAGCGATAACAGTGACGCAGATTGGAACGAATGAGATGATGAGAGCGATGATTGGAGCGGCGATCTGGAGATAAGAAAGGATCTGTCTGAGATCTTCACCATCCTTCTGTGCGGAGTTAAGGAATGATGTGAACATTGTTGAGACATCAATTGGGAATGTGTCTGAGTTCCTCATCAACTCACAGAAATCGTTTGCTGTGAAGATTCCATTGACATCTGTTGTACCAGCGATCATCTTGTTCAAGTGCAACATGTAGATATACTTATCCTTGAAAGTTGACTTGACATCACCCTTATCAGATGAGTTGTAGCAGAATCTGAAATCGCATGTTTCAGAAACTAATGTTGAAGCCATTGTGTAGACATTGATACCTTCTGCAGCAAGGTTAGCGAGGTTGCCGAGAATTACATCGAACTCTGATGCAGCATCCTTAACAGTTGATGTGATCTGTGTTGGAAGTTCTTCATCGAGTTTGACGTACTCTGTGAATGTTGATTTATCAGCTGCCCAATATGCCTTGAATGAATCTTCCCAGTTAGAAATGCGGCCAACATTCTTTGCCCAGTGTGCCCAGACTTGGAAGATGGCGACGTTTTCAAGGAATCTCATTCTTGTAGCAGAGTTTATGTAGACAACGGACTCCTTACGGATCTTGAACTTTTCTGTCTGGAATACGTTAAAGAACACAAAGATTGCAATTGTAGCAATGAGAGTGATGAATGAGAAGATGATGAAGTATTTCCTGATGGAGGATTTACGTGTTTCTAAAGCGTGGTGTAAAGCTAATCTCATTCTTGAGTGATTGAAAATCTTCTTACCAATGGATTCTTCCATTTCGGCATCGATTGTGATATCATTTGAAGAAGAGTTCAATGATCTCTGTGATGAGTTTGATCCGGATGTCTGCATTGACTGTGAACCCTTTCCGTTGTTTACCTGCTTCTTCATGATTCTCTTGCCCTTCTCATCCAAAACGTTGTTTAAGATGTATGATGGGAACATTCTGATGAATGATCTGAAGGAAGCATCGACAGCGAAGTTACGGCCAACTTCAATCTGGTCACCTCTCTCCTGTTGGTAAATGGCGCCTTCTAAATCAGCCATTGTCTCTGATCTGAATCTGGAGTATTCGTATGAAATCTTTGCGTTGTTTGGATAGTGGTTGATGGCTTCGTTCCAAAGAAGCAAAGCATTGGATGTTGTGGAGGAAACTTTCTCGCAGAAGGAGATCTTTGGATTAGGAAGGTTCCAGAAGTGTCTCATCATGGCTTCACACTCGTTGTTGAGGTTTCTGAGAACTAAAATCTTCTCGTTTGCATCAATGGAAACAGAGGAAGCACGGAGAGCACGAATACGGCCAATCTGGAAGACAACGAAGCGGTCACCGAATGTGAGATTTCTCTGTGAAATGATCATCTTGAAAATGTTGTTGAGTTTACGCATTTCGGATGGGAAGAATGCGACAACTTGTGCAAGGCAGCAGAGAACTCTGTTGGAGTCGTAATGGTTTGTAAGATAGGCAACGTATGACATATCAACGAACATCTTGCCCATTTGAACAAAAGATACATAAAGGTATTTCATGGCTTTGTTCTCTGATTGGTCGAGCTTGAGTTCGTCGAACACTGCGTACTTCTCTTCTTCTGTCATTTCGTTGGATGTGTACTTGAATTGCTTCTTGATCTTTTTCGCCATGAAGAAGAACATGTAGTAGAAAGCAACGGTCAAGACAACAAGAAGGGCGCAACCGACAATAAATGGAATCCACTTTCTAAGGTACTCCTTACCTGCCTTCATGAAGTTGTTACCAATGAACAAAAGATCCATGATAATCGTGGAAACTGTGATAGAGCAGTAAATCGCATTATCAAGAATCTTGTAGAATGGGAAGTTGGTGACAATTGTAAGAATGTAGACATTAGCTAAGATATGGCAGATGTAAACGATAACCATGTAGTAGTTAGGGAAGATACTGAGTATGAATGAAACGACAATCATCAAGGAGTTGATCATTGTGTGGTTGATGAATAATCTGTGATCAACTAATGGGAATGGAGTATTTGTTAAGATAACGGTACGGCTACTTAATGTCATAGCAATGGATGTGATAGCAAAGAGGACGACATAGCAAACAGCACCGAGAACAAGATGTACCCAATACTTGTTGTTGCCTGTATCATGTAATGTCTTGAAAGCAAATGAGACTAAAGAAGCGCATGGATAGAGGCAAATTGGTGTGATGATATCGAAAATGACCTTTTGTACCCATAATGACCATGTGATGAAAGATTTCTTAACCTTATAATAGAACAATTCAAAACCAAGCCAGCCAACGGATAAAATAGCTGCGACAATGGCAATGATAAGCTGGTATTGGAGTGAAGAGTCTATGTCGTTAATGTTTGTAAACCAAAAGATTTGAAGTGCCCAATGAAGAACTGGATAATGTGTTGGGTCTGATAAATCAAATGCATTTGAAATAGGCCACATGGAAACTAAGAAGGCCTGTAAATCGAAGAAAAGCGAAACGATAAACATAACCATTTTAGGGACCTTTGCAATTGTATTCATTTGATCAAAAAGCGGGAATACGATATCAATGGGCTTTTGAAGACCACTGATAAGGATATTCTTTTTTCCGCTAACTGACTCGACGGACTTGGACATCGAGGAAACAACGGACGATTCCAAGTTCATCTTTAAAAATTATCTTCATACTCATTCAAATTTGAATTGAATACACATGAGCATTAATAAAAAAATATGGAAGTATTATATATATACTGCATATTATTTTCACAAGATACGTTTTGTTAAGAGAATTCAAAAATTGAAAATATACATGAATGAATATTATCTTAGTTATTAAAGCTGGAATAAATTTAAATGGGAGTTTTGAATAGGATTTTTGTTCAATTGAATATATATTGGAATTCAGCTGCTTTGTTTGTTATTTCAAACAATATTACGATGAAAGAATTGTAAATATATATATATTCCCTCAAAATTGAATGAATAACAATTTGAAAATATTGAACATTTCTGTTTTAAAAATGATATTTATAATACTTTTAAAGTTAGCTCGAACGGTTAAGAATTTGTGACAAAAAACTGTTCATTTTGAACATTAATACATAGAGCAATTTCATAAATCAAAAGTAAAATCTCAGATGAATTCAATTCTTATCAAAATATGTTTTACAAAATATTTTGGATGTTTAATGCAATTTAAAGCATTTGATAAACATATTTGATCATATTTCTTTTGACATCTCAAAACTTGATTATTCAAAAAATTGTGAGAGATTCAATATTGTGTGACCAACAATAAGAGGGAGTGTAAGGAATATTAAGATTCAATAATTTTCACGCTTGTATCGTAATTGTTTTAAATTAAATATCAAAACTCTAATATTGCTTAATGAATTACATCTCAATAAAAAATTAAAACATGTCTGTGATGAAAGTAGTAAAATAAATATATTTATAGCTTTATAAATTCTATTCATAACTTGAATGTTTCAAAATCACGACAAAAATTAGAATGAAAAATTGATTGTACGGAATAAAAAAATATTATTCTGTTAAAATTAATATTTGTAATCATGTGATACCGAATACAATTGCCAAAATAGCTTGTCAGTTAGTTTCTCCAGAAAATATGAAATGCAAATTTCATTGAAGATTCCTCATAAGGCTAACCCTATTATTTTTATTATTTTTCATGAGTTCCCTATTGGACACAACGCCCAAAAATGCATCAGAAAGTGCGACAACGAATTTTGCAACATCTTCATCAATTTGTGAAGCTCTGTTAAACTCAAACTCGAATCTGGCTCCTGTTGTTCCTGTTTCGACAAGATCACCTTGATACATGTCGCTAATTTCGATTAATTTAACTGTATCTTTGTGCTTTTGTAAATAAGATTGTACTAGCTCAATAAAAGGTGCTGTGCTGTCCTCTAAGTCTGAATAACAATGAATTCCTGCATTTTCAAATTCTTTGATTCCTATGGAATAATTGCTATGAGAGGGTTGGCTACTAAATCTGATAAAGCCATGTAAGTTCTCTGGCGGTGCATAAACTAAATCAATATTTAAATTGTTTTTCTTTCTCAAAATTGTATCAATTAACCATCCAATTGGATCACAACGCTTAGAGAATGCTATAGATACGATGCCACCAATATATCCAGATCTTCCTGTAATGTAAAATTCGTAATGATGATTGGATCGTTTCATAAACTTACTCTGAATGAAAGCAAAATCATAGGATAATTGTAGTCTGAATAAGTTTCTAATAATTTTCTGTTGGTATTCGATTGAAACTTTGCCAAATATGTAAAACAAAAGATAAATTAGCGCAATTCCAGCAAAGATATACTCTCTAACTCCTATCAATTGAGAAAGAGGAAGTCTTTGACGTTTAACTTTATTTGTTGCATTTGAATCAGTTTCATTCTCCTGTGGCTGAATATATTTCCTAGTTTGTCTCTTATTTGGGCCATTTTGTTCATCTAGATTATCATCATCGAATGGAAGATCATCGTTGATTGATAATGCGGAAGATAATAGTACAAACAAAAACATTTTTTTGCACTTTTACGATCATGCACTCTAACATTGAAAAGGATCGTCTAAGGATGAAGATTTCTGGTCATATCAAAGTACACCCAAATATCAGAACTCTGACCTTGGTGAATTTATGATCAGTTTGGAAAAGCATCAATAATTATGCAATTCAGAATATATTATTATCGATTTGGATAAGATTCATGCTGGAAATCTTCATTTTAACCAACAGCTTACCCTGATTTAAGTATTAACATCTGCTAACATCCATACTCACGCCAGTCATTTTAATTTTTCAACATATTCATGCTGGAATTTACCATTTTCTTATTAGGTTTTCTGCTAACTTATGCTAAATAACTATATCAACTGTTTTAATGATGTTATTAGCGATTATATTATTAATTTTATTCTTTAAACCTACGGTCTGCTATATATTCAGTACATATTGAACTTAATAATATAGAAAACTTACATGTTTTGAAATTATTGAGGTATTACCATGCCATCCTTGTCGCCAATTTAAAGTTTATGTTCCCAGTTTTTGAACTTATAGTATGGAATTGTTAGCTATTAAGTGATGAATCTAGTTTAGAACTTCAAAACTAACAATTCATTCCAGAAACTCACAGAACTTTGAGTTAATCTCATATGATTAACTCAAAGTTCTGTGATTTTTTGTATAGAATGGGAGGCTTTGAGGTACTGATTCATACTTTGTACCTCAAAGCCTTCCATTCTTGTTTAAAATAGAAGAAACTTCGTCCGATATGTTAGTGGGATGCATAGGAATTGCTGTCCATGAGGCACTAGATCTAGTTAAGTGTCCCTCAGACAGCAATCTCTGCGCGAAGCCAACGCATTTTCCTGCTCTGTTTATTGAATTTGGATTAAAATAAGTTCGACAATCGGTATAACGTGGGAAATCGAATTATCTCTATGCCATTGATCTGAGCAACCTGTCTACTAGAAATATAAATTTCAAATTTTTTTCAAAAATGGAAAAACAAGATGCATTCTAACATTTTCGATTCCCATATTTTTTTTTATTGATTTTTCATTTTAATTTTGTTTTTTTCTCAAAATATTAAATGATATTGAATAAATTAAATCATACACTTATTGTAAAAAATTATGTGATTCACAAATATGCCTACAAATTTAGTTTTAAATTGAATCACTATATCACAACTATCAAATTTGAGTGTGCTAATATGGCATATTGAAAGATTGTTCTCGAGAAGACATTATTATGAATATTATCTGTTTACTATATAACAAATAAAATATTACTGTTAATAATTCTAGCGAGGTTTATGGCAAGACATTACTACTGTAAAAATGCAGTTTATAAATACTTATCATTATCAATCAGCCTTTTTCTTTAAGCCCTTTTGTTTCTTATTCTTTCTATCGATGAAAAATCCAATAATATTGATGACAATTGGAATAGTAATAACAAGAATCATAAATAGATTCTCGAACAATGAGAGAGAGTTAACGAAATCTAATACTTCAGAATATAAAACTTCTATATAAGATTTCTGTGGGAGATCGTATGAAAGAGCATCAAGTAGTTCTTTCTTTTGATATCTCTGTCTATAAGCAAAGTTTTCATTGTTCCATTCTATCACAGATTTCTCATCATTTGCAATAAGAATGTTATTAAAGGAAATATCACGATTTACATGCCATATTTCGAAACCAAGTCCATAACTCAAAGGAACCCGAAGTTTATGATCAAATGCTCCGTTTTTGGCAGGAACATTATCAATTAGTATTGAATAAGTTCCATTTTTGCGTATGATTAGAGTATATAAGTGCGTCATTGTATCATCAAATGGAATTGGTGGGTCTTGCATGACTAATTGCTTGAATTTGTATGGCGATCTGTTAAATTCGTTTAAAATGAAGTGAACTTTCTTAGAAGAGCTACATCTATCAGGTCCAAACATCAAAGCGTAGTTTGTTTCATTGGTTAATTTGGTCGGATCGAAATCACCAGCAAAAAGCTTAATATAAGCGCCACTGCATGTAAAAGCAAATTCTGCACGCATTTCATACTGTAAAACAAAATCTTTTTCGGTGATATTTATTGGATGTTTGAATTTCGTAGAAACTGCTGAATAAACTTTTCCTCTTCTTGCATATAGAGCATTTTCTCCAGGGATAGTTTGAGGGATCTGTGTTTCAACTATTTGCCAATCATTTGTATAATTTAGAGCTTCTGTAGGGATCCAGCGACGAGGAGACCAGATAGGATCGAAGCTCTCATAAAGTAAAACATCACACTTAGGTTTTGCAGGTAACTTTTTTGATAATGTATATGGAAATAGATAAAAACAAATCATTATAATATTATAAAAAGGGGGAGAAAACTTTTATTTTTTGTAAAATTGAGCCAAATTGACGTTTATAAATTCCACTTTCATTTAAAATGACATCTTCGAAAATTAAAGGATTTCAACTAGTAAAGAAACTCCGCCTACTCGAAGATGATGTCCAAGCTGCGAAAAACATGAGGGAGAATTTGATGAACGAAAATGACAATCTCCAAGATCAAATCGACCAAATTATTTTCCAAATAGAAGAAATTCGCGCAAATGATATTAAACTGTATGATGAGAATCAAGAAACTAATGATAACGTTGATGAAACTGCTCAAGCTACATTTTTCGGAAATTTAAACGAATTAGAAAGACAAGAAAATGAGATTAATGGCCAAACTGAACAATTTAAGAAGCAATTATCAGACTTTACTCATGAGTTTGCCACAGAAAAACAAAAACAAAAGTCTCTTAGAGAAAAATTACAAAATGTACAAACAAATTATGAAATTCAATATGAAATTACGACGAAAGCACAATCAGATTTAGATGTTGCCAAGGAAGAATCACATAAACTCTACGAACAAATCAATGAATTATCTGATTCTCATTCTGAAGTTAAAGCTGAGCTTGAAAAGAAGGAAAACATGTACAAATACAGCGATGATGCAATAAATAACAATCTTAAGAAAGAAAAACAAAGACTTTTAGAAGAGAAAAGAGCATTATATGATAAACTCGATAAAATGGATGCAAATCTCAAGAAAACACAAGATTTACATGATAAAAACGTAATTAATACAGGGAATTCGATCAAACAGAAGACTTCCGTTGGATCTTGGCTTGCAGATCGAAAAATACTTCTTGATAAGATCAAAAAGAAGAAGACTGTTTTGGCTACTGAGAAAAGTTCCCTTCAGAGAGAGAAAACAATGACTCAAAATCTCCAATCTCAATTTAAATCTTTGTTCGGCCAAACAGACCCGGGTGATGGATCCAGTCGTTTAGCAAAGCTTGTTGTACAAGCTGAAATCGATTCGATTGTGTCAGAAGATCCTTCAATTGAAGAAGATATCAACTCCGAAAAGGATTATAATGCTACATTAACAGAAGAGTATAACAGAATAATGAACACTCTTAAAGAGCTCGAAAGACACCGTAATTATATTATCAATGACCTAAATGAAGAAAGAATTGAATGTGAGAGGAAAGGATACTTAAATATGCTGCAAGAAGAACTCAATGTTCTCATATCTTCAGCATCCCACTAACCATTTATTATATATTTTGTATTGTATGAATTAAAAAATTAATTGTTATTATTTTAAAAATATTAAACTTATTAACCATCAATACTCCCTCAAAAATATCATTGAGTTTAATAATTCATTATTTTTAATACAAAAATAATATTCTTTTGAAACTTAATATAAGATATCCATTTCTATATGAGAAAACCTCACATTGTCTAGTTGAGCCCCGCAACCGCCAAAAACGTGCTATCGATGCTCTTTACGGATATAGAAATGCACAAGAAGTCGGCCATTTTCAGATTTGAGCAAGCCAAAGCACACCGTGATCAAGCCGAAACAAATTCAGCGAATGATACAGAATAAAAGGATGCTATTGCAGCCAAATAAGTAGAAGCAGTTAGTACAATACGCTAAATGAAGATTCCTACCCAAGAAGAGGTCGAAACCGCGAAATTCCTAACCCAAAACAAAACTATGAAATTTAAGCAACTTCCGATCTCTCCAGACCCTGTAGACTTTGTTATCAAGCAGTACGAGAACGTCTTCAACGTCTGTGAGCACGAATCAATCAGTTCGAAACAGTCAAACTAACTTCGCGGTTATTCAAATTTGAAGAGTGCGAAAAGTGGAACAAACACTGGAAAAACGAGAACAAATACACGAACGAGAAGATGAAAGAGTTCGAGAACCTCCCGAAGAAGGAAACTCTTCAAAGAAGGCTTGATGATTAGAAGAAATCAATCGATGAAACGAAAATCAACGTTGAAAGCTTTGAAAAACCTGATGAAATTTATTATGTCTTTAAAAATTAATGTATTTTCAAAAAGTAAAATTCTATTTTTAATCTCTAAAATATAAATAAATAATATAAATTATTTCTTTGATTGAAATTCAGGTGGAAGAGGAATTGATTCGACTCTCTTTCCATCTGGTCCAAATGGATGCAATGTTCCATCGAACATATCGCTTTCCAAATACTTCTTCTTTCTTTCCTCGATCTTCTTCAACTGTTTTGCCTCTTTTCTTCTCTTCTTTAATCCTTCTGGATCCAACAACTTATCAGCTGCTGATTGTTCAATTCTTTCCTTCTTGAGTTTGTCTTCTTCTTCGACAATTGCAGCCCATTCCTGTGCGAATACTTCTGACTGAATCTTTCCTCTCAAGAAAGAAAGAGCTCCAGTTGCAGCTTGTTTGATATCTTTGTTCTTTGAAACTTTCATTTTTCCAATGAATTTCAAAGCGAAATTAAGATATTGTTTCGGTGTCTTCTTTTCATCTTCTGAAGACTCCATTTGGTCAACACTTGCTGCTATTGCTCTCATCATTAATATAACAGCTCCTTGGCTTGGATCATTTTCATTTGTGTACTTTTCCATGTCAGGAATGAATTGGACCAAATTATTTTCATCAACTCTTGAAATGATTGATGATAATGCTAAACCAGATTCTTGGATAACACCTGACCAATCGAAAGTAATTCTTAAGAGTTCACGAGCTAATTTGATCAAATCTTCATCGGAAGGACTGAAAATATGTTGGTAATCAGAAAGATACCAATGACATAATTTGCATCCAATTCTTGTTGTTTCTCTTATTGACAACAAATTCAACAATTGCGAGATATTGAACAATTTAACTGATACTTCTTCATTATCAGCAAATGTTGAAACAATTGCTTTGTGAAGTTGAACTGCGGCGAGTTTAATTTTGATGTTTTCAGCATTAACTCGTGCATCAACTAATTGTTGTAAATCATCCAAAGCTGATTCAACATTTGTCAAAGGAACAGCAACAGCTAACAACAACAAACCTGTTCTTGTCTGCTTTCCATCTGATGATGCCCATTTTGTCATCAGTTCGAAATCAGTCTGTAATTTGTTTGAGTTGTTAGATTGCAATAAATCACTTATTGCTTCACCAATTTCCTTTGCAATTCCATCATCTGTTTCATTGGCAATTGTAACACCTAAATAAAGGAAGATTAATTCATGGTATTTCTCGAGTTGCTCTTCTTTTGCAATCTCTATAAACTTGCGGATGAAGTAGATCAATGATCTTCTGGCTGCGGATTTATTCGATTGCAAATTTGACAAAACAAATTTGATGTGATTTTCAAAGGAAATTTGTTTCATCTTGTATGTTGTCAAATAGATCGAACAGAAATCAGCAGAAAGTCTTCTGACATCTTGTGATATTGCTCTAACAATTAACTCAAACGCTCTGTCAGCAACATCATAAATTTCAGGAATATCATTTCTTCTTTTGACAACTAAAATCAAGACGCCAAATATCTGTTCACAACTGTCGTGGTCATCAAGTTTATCTGATGAGAATTGTACTAATGCACGTGTGAACTTCGTTGGTAACTCGATATTCGGGAAATTGACCAAAATTGTTGTCAAAAGTGCGAAAATCTTCTTTCCGAAATCATCAGTTGCAGTATGCATTTGTTGCAATTGATCTGCAATGAAATCGAAGATATCTGGGAGTTTCTTGTTGAATGTTGGGAAGATATCATGATGTGCATAATGTTCTAAGATTGTCATTGATACAATCATTGAATCATTATCATTTGTTGATGTTGTAAAATGCCAAATATCATTTAACAAATCATCCAACATCTTAATTTGTGCATCACTTGATTCTTTGTTTTCTTTCATGTCTTCTTGATCAGGAATGAACAAATTGTTGTCGAAGAAAACAACTAACATCTTCATCGCGAAATAAGAGATCAAGAAATTGCTTCCGAATGAATAAGTATTCGGATTTTGTGCTTCAAATGAAGATCTCACTGGTTTTTCTAATAACAAATCTTGTTCAAACATATGACCATAAGAAATCTTCTTCTCTTCTTTCTTCGATGATTTCTGGGGCTTCTGGATTTGTGATTTAGTCAACATTTCTTTTGCAACTAAAACAATGTGATCAGCACAAATTGTTTCGTTTTCTAAAAGACCAGTGCAAAAAGAGTTGATTAATCTCTTTGCGCCTCTTTCTTGTTCTCTTGATTGTAATGATTCGAAACGTTCCTTCAAACAATCAATGATATCTCTTATTGTTTCATTGAAAACAATTTTACTGGCGAGTTTTTCGAAGCTGTTAAAGGAATGACACTTTTTAGCTTCAGGAACTCTATCAGCCATTTGTACACGGAGTTGTGCGTTGTTTCCGAAGATATCTTCTAATAAACAACCAACTAAAACCTTGACAAATGGATCGAAGCATCCAACAATCTTAGAATGCTCGATAACATTGGAAAGAGATACATAAAGTAAAGGAATTCCGTAACCTTGAGACATTTGATTTCTCAATGATTGGAAGAAATCGAAAAACATCTCTTTAGGAACAGCACCTGTTAATGCCGTAATTGCGTCTTGTCCGATCTGTCTGATCTCTTGTTTCTTGTTAAGTGCTTTGTTTGTGACATAATTTATCAATCTGTGGATAATAAATGGCTTTGTATTGATTGATAAAAGCGCTGTCATTAATTGCAATTGTGCCTTATTTGGTGTCTTTTTATCTTCTATTAACTTCAATAATGTGTTTGTTACTTGATCAGCTGTGAAAGCCTTTCGTTTGCAGAGATCAACTAACAATTGTATTGAAGCATTTCTCTCGACTTTTGATGTCAATCTTTGCAATAATTTGTCAATTGCAAATTGGGAACTTAATCTACAAACAGGACTCAAAGCATTTGCCAATCCTGTGGCTCCTGTCATTTGACTTAACAATGGTAATATATAAATAGAAAGTTCTTCTTTGTTTAGGGTGTCTTTCAATGATTCAATGTCATCTCCAAATTTAAGAAATCCGTCAAATCTGACACCTTCATCGACAGAACCAATGGATTTGAATGAGTCTAGCTGGCAAAGTTTTGTAATTGTTGGGAGAATGTCAGGTTTTTGTGTCGTAATGGAATTGAACAAAATAATGACTTCTGAAACAGGAATTCTCGCGTTTCTCTTATTGACATGGAATCTGATTGAAGGCAAGATGAATTCTTCAATCAAATCCGGACACTCATTGATAACTCTGCAGAGAAATCCTGATGCTGCATTCTGCAAAGCGAACTCAGAAATCTGCATGTCAGCGAACGCTTGCATTGCAAAAACATAGTTGAATTCGCCAACACTTTGGAGATCACGATACGCGATTGTTTTGACAGCGATGTCTTCGTTGTTAATGTTCATGAATGAATCTTTGTATTTGCCAAGAGATTCTGCAATTAAAGGTACAAATTCTTGTCTGAAATCTTGTTCCAATGGTCGACCAATTAAGACACAAAGTTTCTTGAATTCTTCTTGTGACCATTTGATTCCTGACAAGATTTGTATTGATTGTGGTTCTCTTGTTGTTATAATGAACTTGATTAACAACTCATGGAGATTGTTATAGTCTGGTTCAGTCTCTCTTAACTGTGACAATAAATCAAGCATCGCTAAAATAAATGTTGGTCTGTTAAGAAGTTTTTCTTCATCAATTGATTTATCAGCGGATTCAATCAATAAAACTCTTAACTCATGAGAAATATAAGGAGTAATCTCAGCTAGTATTGAGCCAACTTCTGCATTCGATTGCGATTTATTGTCAGGGAGTTTGGAAATGATGATTTTGACGAGTTCTGGGAATTCAGCAAAATTCTTTGCGAATCTTGATTTTGCAGCTGTCATTGCTCTGACTAATGGTTCGAAATTGTGGACAGCGGCAACTTCAAATGATTTAAGGATGTTCTGGACAAAGTCATTTTGTACTTGGGATAATTCATCGTTGGCGGTTTGCCACTCAAATTCTGAATTGAAGTATTGTTGTTTAACTTCAGTTTCTATGAACAAAGTTACTGCTTTGACACATGATTTGATGATATTTGTTGATGCCTTGGAACATGCGTTCATGCAGTCCTTTAATGTGTTCGCAATCCTCTTAGCAAATGGATAAATTTGATTTGGCAAACGTGACAAAACCGGCGAAATGTAAACTGGTGCTTTTCTTAATGTTGCCTGAGATTTTTCTTGAGGAAATGTTGCTTCTATCAAAGGTTTTGTGTAAATTGGAGAAAGAAAAGACAATGATTGTAACATAGATGCAGCAAGTTGATGATATTTGTGTTTTTGTCTCACTTTTTCTGTCAAATATTCGAAATAACAACCGATTGTCAAATTTACAGCTGCTGTAATAACGAATTCTTTTTCGAATTCGAGTGTTTCAACGAAACCTTGTAATCTCATCAATGTATCAACTTTGTTCTTTGGATCTGCATAGCTCTCGAGGATCTCCTGGATTGTCTTTCCGATCTGGTCATTGATGGATTTGTTGTTTGTAACGTGGTAAGCGTATTGGACGCCTAAAGCTGCCTTTCTAACTTCAAGTTTTGTTGATCTGAGAAGTTTAAATGTTGCTGTATCAACTTTTTCTGCAAATTTATCGGAGAACTTTACAGAAGAAAGTGAAGAAATCAATTGAGAAATGATTTTTGCACCAACATCTTCTCTCTTCTTTTCAGCTTCTTCTTCTTCATTCTCGTTTTGGTCTTCTTCTTCATTTGTATCATCCATTCTCACTTCTGAATATTTGATTAACAAATTAACCATTGTTTCATCAATGTATTCAGCTGAAATCAAACCTTGTATCAAAGCTTGAGTGAATGAAGGAGAGTCAGCAAGGGAAAACTGCTTTTCTATCTCATTAGAAATCATTGTTCCATAAACAGTTGGTTTCAATTTAATTATAGCGCCAATTAAAGTTGAAGCATGAGTTTTGAAATTCACGTAATTTTGTCTTGCGAATCCCAATGCGTAATTCATCAACAAATTTGTGTTTCTTATTTTAACAATATCTGTTGTTAATCTAGCAATTGCTGCTTCACCAACTCTATAACTTGTTAAATCATGTTTTGCGTTGAAAACTAAATCACCGCATCTTACAAGTAAAAACTCATCTTCTAATAATTCAAGAGGTTCTTCTTGTCCAACGAAATCAACTAAAATAGTTGATGCCATTCTAATTATTTCATTATTAGGAGTATTGAAGTCAATTTCCTTCAAGAACTGCTTGAAAACAGGTGAATCTCTTGTGAACCATGATGCATTGACTTCTTTAGAAACAGTTATTAGTTTGGAGAAAATGGAAATTGCTTTTTCTTCCATGATTCTTCCTTGTAATTCTTTGAGAAGTTTTGGTGGTTCTTCGGCCAATTTTTCTGAATCAAAATGACCCATTAAAGTATATAAAACTTCTTTTTCTTCCAAAGATTTATTAGGTAAATTCAAGAGATCATTATAAATATCTCTGTTGTAGATATACTCCAAAACAGGGATAAATATGTTTCTGTTTTCTTTTATTTGTTCTCTTATCATTTCATACAATTCTTTAGGAACATCAGTTTGAGAAGGACACAACCATTGTATGTAATGTAAAATAGATAACAAATATTCAGGAGTTTTCGCGTAAAATTCTAAAACACTTTGTCTTGCTGCATATGATATTTTAACACATCCATCGAGTTGATCAATTTGATGGTTGTTAATTATGAGTTTGATAATTGCTCTTCCTATTAATGAATGTTTTTCTTCAGGAATAGGAATGAATTCTAATGATTTCAAGTAGTCAACAATGGAATCATTCGATGCAACTTCAAGACATGTATTTAATACATCAATTGCTTTGTTTTTGTCTTCGATTAATGTACCTTCTTTCTCCATAGTCCATATGGAAAGTGTCTCTAATGCAAGTGTAGGGTTAATTAGGGGGAGTTTCTCAGTTAAAATGGGGATAATATCGTTACCTTTTGTAAAATGTTTTGCAAGTTTTTTGTTGGCAAGAAGGAAAGCATCGTTGACGATTTCATGCTGCTCGGCAAAACACCAATCAACTATTTGGACAGCATATGACCTCAATGTACCGCCTTTGTTCTTGGCAGAATGAGAAATCGTAATTGCGATTGATTCAACTAACATTTCACGAGTTGTAGGGATTCCGTGGGAAATTTCTTCTTCTGTTTGTGGTATGTCTTTGATTGTCTCGTAGAATTTCTGGCATTTGCTTAATAAAATGTTAAATGCAGTTGGTCGGAGTTGATTTGGAGTCTGACGTAATAAGAAGGCTGATGTTTCTGCAGCAAGTCTTCTGGTATATGCTTTTCTGTGTGTGAATAGTTGTGTTACGAAAATAGTGAAAATATTTTCAAAATCGTTGACAATTTGCTGCTTTAGGAAATTAATCATAAAAACTATGCACTTGAAGAAGTTGTCGATAAATTCGGGATCTGTTGGCTCGAAAATTTTAATGAGAAGCTCTAAAATCTTTGTAAAATACGGATAAAATTCACTTCTTAAGTCACGAGCTAGCTGTTGTAATAGATACATAACTGTATTTATGCCAGCGCGTGCTTCTTCGTATGTTAAAGAAAGAAATTCTTCTAAAGCTCCGATAACTTTATCCTTATTAAATAATAATAGTTCTAATGTATTGGTATAATTCAAGATTTGAGAAACAAGACGCGAATACTGTGGATCTAAATTTGTTTGCATTGATTCTCTTAACGCATCATCAAAGAATGAGCCATTTTCACCTTTCTTTGGGAGTTCTTTGGATAATTCAAAGTCGGTGTTAATGTTGACTGTAATCTCTGCAATCTTCTGTGAAAACGATTTCCATTTATGCCTCGTCTTAAGAAGATTTTGGACGCTCATTTTCTACAGGAAGCAGAGGGCAAAACCGCAAAATCTTGAAAATCTCTGAATATATAGAGAAACAAGGGAAAACAAAATAGTATTGATGAGAATGCTTAAATACCAGATTTCAGCCAAATAGTGCTAAATTTGATTTCAATTTTTTTCAATTTCTAAATTTGCTTTCTTGATAGATTTATAATTAAAAGAGAACTACTCAGCAAATAGATTAACCATGAATATAAGACATAAAATTTAAGATTTATAAATTTTGTTCAAATTCTGATTCAATATCGATAAAATCATTCTGCATCAATGCCCAATCATATACAAATCATCACACAATGTCCAAAGACAGGTTTTTTAGTAATAATGTGAGTTCAAACTTAAATATCTAACATATCGACTTGACTCTAAGACGTTATCGTATTATTTACCAGTGCAGAAAGTGGAATTTCACTTATAATATGTAGTTTTATCAGTTAATAATAGTAGTATATGTGGAAGGGTTGTGTGACTTTTTTTGTTACGTCTATATATAGATGAAGGTATATTTTCACATCTTCTATATATAGATGATATAAAAATTTTTTCTTACGTTTTTTAAGTCATGAATTCGTAAGAAAGCGCGACATTATTAAATAAATTAGTAATAAATATTATATACTGTAATAAACAGAAATTCATCAAAAGTGACAGCTCTCAATTTTTTGACATTTGTAAATTCTAAATTGAATGAGAAAAATGAAATAATACTAAGCATAATACAATATTCTAGATTTAATTATAATTAGGAAAAAGTTAGTTTTGAGAGTACTTTTCATAGGCATATAGAATGAAATCTTCTGAAAAATAATATCACATAAACTCATATTATTTTCTAATATATAACTATTTTATATAAAAATCAAATTCAATGATCTTAAAAGCGAAGGATAAACCTCAAAATTTACGAATATAATGAGTGGGAATATAATGCTTATCTATCATAAAACCATATGAAATATCAATTTTTGCTTTACGCCTAATTTTTGACGACAATTAGCAAAAAATGTTAAATGTTAACACTCAGTCCATTTGAATATGAAAAATAAAATTGACTTTGATTAAATGTTTTTATTTATCATGACATTCTTCTTGCGACCAAAGATTTGAATAAAAGTTCAAAAAATAAGATAGCTTAAAAAATAATATACGGTAGTGTTTACTAATAGATGAATAGTATATAAATTCTATTAAAATGGATTTGATCCAAAAAATATATAAAATTTGATCATAAATAAATCGTTTTAAATTACTTCTTCATTTAAATTATAACAATTATTTTTGGTTTTATATTTTTTGGATCAAATCCATTTTAATAGAATTTATATACTATTCATCTATTAGTAAACACTACCGTATATTATTTTTTAAGCTATCTTATTTTTGAACTTTTATTCAAATCTTGGTCGCAAGAAGAATTGCATGATAAATAAAAACATTTAATCAAAGTCAATTTTATTTTTCATATTCAAATGGACTGAGTGTTAACATTTAACATTTTTTGCTAATTGTCGTCAAAATTAGGCGTAAAGCAAAAATTGATATTTCATATGGTTTTATGATAGATAAGCATTATATTCCCACTCATTATATTCGTAAATTTTGAGGTTTATCCTTCGCTTTTAAGATCATTGAATTTGATTTTTATATAAAATAGTTATATATTAGAAAATAATATGAGTTTATGTGATATTATTTTTCAGAAGATTTTGTGTTCTTCTTCAAAATTTTATTTTTTTATTAAAAAGAATCTTTACAAAATATACATTTACTTTAATTAATATTTAAAAACGTGCTCTATCAAAAGTTCCAAAAATTCAATATTTTAGCTTTTCTGAGGTGTCACTTTTGATGAATTTCTGTTTACAACAATACTAAACACATTTTAAAAAATTAACATTAATTTTAAAATAATTTATTTTTTATCTTTTATAAAAGAAGCTATATATAGATGATGTCAGATATTCCGCGATTAATTAAACATTGTTTAAATCCTGAATGGAATCAATGGAGTCATAATCAAAGACCTCATAAACGAGTAAAAGAAATTAGAAATAAACTTCTTACGAAAAATTAAAACTTAGTTATGTTTATTATTTTATTTTTTTATTTTGTATGAAATGAGCGTCAAAACTAACAACGTTAAAAAATTAGGATTCACAAACGAGGAAATAAAGGATATATTAGAGGAGGTGGGTTATGAAGTTGATAAATATTATTTAAGAAATTGTAAAAAATTCGCGGAGTTATTAAATGATTTAGATTATGATGGAAAAATGAATAAAGATGATGTTATAAATTTCTTATATCCCACATCTGAAGAAGAAAAACCTAAAGAACCTGATGTTTTCCCTGAATATTATGAAGAACGGATTAAAGATGATGAATACAATGAAATTGAAAGACTGAAAAAAATAAGAGATGAAATAGATGAAAAAATTAAGGAATTAAGAGAAGTTGAAAAATATAATGAAAATGAAGTAGAGGGTTTAATGAATATCCCAGCTTCAGAATCAGCAGTTCAGAAATCTCATGAAGAAAGATATAAAAATTATGTCTCAGAATCAACACAAAATTTATTAGATGGTGAAATAGACGAAACACTTTCAGAAGAAGGTACTAAATTTATTCGTAAACATAAGTTACAATTTATTGATAATGAAGAATACCCCTGTATCCTACTTTCACCACCTTGAGATTCCGATAAATTCAAAAAAGCTCTTAAAAACGTGACATATGCAACTAATACGATTAAGAAAGAAGATCATGATATTTACACAAATTATTATTTAAATAAATGCACAAGTGTTGATAAAGTTTTTGATTTATTAGATAAAATATCAAAAGAAACCATTGGAACATATAAAATTTTGTGTGATTGTGGTTTCATTATTGAAGATACCAATAATGTTTCATATGAAAGAACAGCACCGAAGGAAGACGAAGTGGAAAGGTCTATACCATTCGTTATTAAGAATATAAAAGATATGAAAACGTATAAGCATTATATTTATTCATTTATTTCAGAAAAAATGGAAGCAACCCATAAAACATCTTCTCATCATTTTATAGCTATTCATACATTCCTTTTCAAAGTTGTGAAATTAAATAAGACAGGAATTAGATTTAATGTATCAGGGTACGCATTCTTGAGTAAATTAAAATGTATTCGTCACGTCGCAGATGATAAAAATTTATGTGTTCTTAATTCATTTTATGGGCTTTAAAAAATAAACTTTATTTTTATTTATTTTTTAATTTTTTATTCTTACATAAATGAACAAAAACGGAACAGCTAAAATGAATGATAATCAAATTAGAGCAGAAGGTAGAAGGTTATTTAAACGCTTCTATAACATTCCTGATGGTGCTAATCCTAAAACTCGTAGAAGCTATTTAAATGAAGCAATAGATGCATATGAAGGGTTTGACATTTCATCAGAAAGTGAGAGATTAGCGAGAATGTTAAATGTTAATATTGATTTCTATTATTGTGATCCTCAACCAGAAGACGTGGACATAAATAAGGTAGACTTTCCATTAGTGGAATCAATAATGATATATCCAGAATTTGAAACAGTAAATATTTTATTAACACAGAGTCCATGTGGAAAACTTCACGCTGACAGAATAACAGACGTTGAAGCACTCACTGGCTATAAAGTTTGTCCATTTTGTAAAGAAGAAGTTTATTCTATCCGTGATGATCCAGAAAGGAAAAACCAAAGAAGATTTTTAAAGCATTGTGAGAAATGTAAAGAAAATAATGGAAGATTAATTCAAGACGTTCAATTGCAAAAGACAGGAATATTATCAACCGACAAGATATTATATTACTTTTGACTTTGAAACATTAGAGACTAAAGAAGAATTACAACTTTCTGAGTGTGCAACTTTGAATGCTTACTTAAAACTATTCATAGTATCATCAACGGTTAAATTAAACGATAAAACATATACGAGGAATTTTTGCTTAACTTCGAGTGATTCTTTTATTTCTGATTGGATTGAGTTTTTATTTTCAACCTGTTCATTAGTTGTTGAATCAAATAGTCAATACAATGAATTATTGAAGTCGCAACGGCTGGGACTTTGTCCATACATTAAATGAAAAACAGAAGGAAGCATTTAAAGAACTTCTAGATGAGGAATTCAATAAAGTGAATATCATAGGTTTTAATTCGGGAAAGTTTGATTTAAATTTAATTCTTCGTGATTTAAACACTGCAAAATGGAAAATAAAATCAATGCTGGGTTCATCTTCACAATTTAAGCAAATCATTGTAAAGAAAACAAACGTTCCATATGAATTGAGATTTATTGACATCAGAAATTATATAGCGGGTGGGACATTAGACCAATTCACTCAAGATTTCGGAAACAATAAATCACGTGTTAAATCCTTTTTCCCTTATCAATTCATCACATGGGAGAATTACGAAGAAGAATTATATAAAGAGGAACCATTCACGAAAGATTCATTTTATTCAGCATTAACCCAAGAAACTATATCAGATAGTGATTATCAAATATATCTCAATGATGCTAAAAATTTTAAGAATAGATTAGAATATTTTATTCATTATTGCAATAAAGATGTTGAAATTATGATTGACCCAATCGATAAAATTATTGAAGAAACATTTGTTTATAAAATTGACATTCTTCATAATCTTTCTTTATCATCGAATGCTTCAATGATTCGTTACGCTTTAGCATATAAAGACTTTAATCCTAATGAAAAATCCTGAGGAAGATAGAATCAAGTTTTGAATTAACGAAAAAGTATTGGAAATATAAAATTGAATCATATAAGAAACAAGATGAAAAAGCAGAAAGGGATACTAAAAATAATGTTTCAATGGATGATTTTCAATACTATCACGATTTAATCCTTTCATCTAAATGCAAATGTGTGGTAAAGCGTTTACATATGCAAATAAACCAACATTGGATAGAATCGATAATGAAAACCACATACCAAAGAAAATTGTCAGTTAATGTGTTGTTATTGCAATGTCGTAAAATCAAATAAAGATGAAGATGTTCAACGTTTAAGAATCAATTTAAGAAATTATGCATTAAAAAATAATTTACCAATGACTTTAGATTCAGTTGAAGCTTATCACATTCTCCGTAATGGAATTACTGGTGGTTTATCAAATGTTCAACATAGAGTAATCTTAAAGGAATCACGCACATTAATAAACTTTCATATAATCCAGAAACTAAAACTGTATCAAATGAGGACACCACCAACATTATGACTCATTTCGTTGGTGTTGATTTTAATTCATTATATCCTTCATCATTTTCATCTAATCCTCATGATTTCATTCAATATACCGACCATAAAATGTATATGCCGGGAAGATTGAATGGTGTTATCATTTGTGATACAGCAACAAAGAAAGCAAAAGCACTGGGAATAATTAAGAAGAAAAATACTTTATTCGTGGCTGAAGTAAAGGGTCACATTGATGAAAATACATTAATGATTACATAAACTTTTTACGATAATAAGAAACTTAGATATTATCACAGATGAAAAAACAATTGGCAGTTTTATGTATAATTACATGAAATCAAACAATCTACCGGTTGACCAGAAACAGAGGAAATTAACTCAGTTAGCATCAAACACACAACCAATATCAACCATTTTCTTCTTATTATCTTTGGTATCTAATAGACAGATTTCATTTTATCATTGATGACATTCAATCAATTTTAACATTTACTAAAAACACTTGTTTTAATGAATTTGCGAACAAATTTATGAACGAAAGACAAAAGGCTGAATTAGAAGGAAATAAAGGAAAAAGTTTATTTTGCAAGATTTCACTTAATGGATCATATGGTTACGATGCAATGAATACACAAAATTACACAAAGACTAAAATAATGAATGCACAGAAGGCACGCGTTGCATGTATGTCAAATAAGTTTAAAAACATAAGAGAAATAGGTGAAGATACATATCAAGTGATGCTTAAAGATAGATTTTATAGATGTGATACATGTTTACAAGAGGCATTCTTCACTTTAGATAATGCTAAATACTGGTATTTGGTTTTCATTTATGATTTTATGTATAAATGCATGAATGTTAATCGTTTTCATTTCATTGAAGGTGATACTGATTCATTCTTATTGGGCAATCGCTGGCGACCCAAATCTTCCTAACACTCAAGCATTTCAAGCAATTGTTACCGATAAACAATTTTATGATAAAAACATTTTCAAATTCGCACCATTTGATTTCTTCTGTTTTGATGAGAAATTTAAACCTAAATTAAAGAATAAAGCTGAAGAAAAAGCACATGAGAAGAAGTTATTGGGTTTAGCAATTGAGAAACAAGGTGATAACATGGTTGCTTTATGCCCTAAGTGTTATACATCATTCAACGGTTCAATTGATGGAAGTGATTTTAAAAAGATTGCACAAAAAATGAAAGGTGTTAGTTTACGACAAAATAAACAATTAACACCTAAAAATTATTTGGATATAATAAATGATAAAGTGATATTTGATGGTCAGAATATTAATTTACAACTTTAAAAACGGGTCAATGACTCGCTTAACAATCGGTAAGACTGCATTAACAGGAGCACACACTAAGGCTGTATGTTGTGAAAATGGATGTTGTATGCCATTTATTTAATACAATTTAAAATTTTATTTTTAATAAAATGCCACAGAAGAGACAAAAGGAACGTTAATGATGCGATTCAATATGTAAATAATGGTTTTGATACTATGTTCAAAGAGGTGGGCACCCTTAAACATTTATTTTATTTTATATAAATGGATAACACAGATTTAAAAAATTTAATTGATGATTTAGTACTTAATCAAAATTTTCTTAATTATTATGAATTAAATCATATCTCCAAAACATAATAACAATATAACGGGTGATGATATGGATTATTATTATCCGTATTATAAAAATGAAATTTTGAAATATCATGATAAAATAATTTCTAAAATTAAAGACAAAATTAAAAATAATGAATATACAAAGGAAAAACTAAATCACAACTTAAACAATTGAAAGATTTCAAAAATAAAGTATTAACAGAAGAAGATATTGATGAATTATATAAATTATATAATCATGAGCCGCAAAAAACAAAGGAACAAAAACAAAAGGTGCAAAACGCCCAGGTCCTTCAGACCATAAATGAAGCACAAGCTTTAATTTATGATTCATTAGTTAAACCATATTCAGCCCGACTTTTAAATGAAGATCAACTTTTGGAATTCATCCTTCAACATAAACTCGAAGCGGGAAAGTATATCAAACCTTTATATACAGCATATTTAAAACAAATGAATAGAATACATCCAGAATTAATGAAGGGGGGAATGAAATCCAGAATCAAAGCAGATAAAATTAAACCACTTGCAACACCAAACCTCCAACGACAGTACCCTCCTCCTCCTTCAGTTAATCCTTCATCATTCACTTTATTATATCCATTTCAAACATTAAAGAAGCAAAAAGATTTTAAAAAGGATTTCAAGATATTAAATAAACCAATTGACCCGAAAATTCAACCGTTAAAGGAAAAATTTAGTCGCCCTTCATTTGCTCCATATCCATATTCATACGAAATCGATCATCTGGAATATTCAAAAGGAAACGTTACTTATTTATTTGCCATTAACATTAACATAGATATTTATATTGCATTCCAGTGAAAGGGAAAACAGAACAGGAAACAAGAAGAGCTATACAATACTTACTAGATCATGAAAGAGTAGATAATATCAGGGTGATGGTGATAAAGGATTTCAGGGCTATGGCTCATTATTTCCCACAAATTAATTTTTTCTTTTCATCCTCTCCATATACGTTTCATAATAAAATAGTTGATGCGGTAATGAGAACTCTTAGAGATGTGTTAGGGGTTAACGGTCAGATATACTGGGATGGAAATCATGACTCCATATACAACAGTTAGTATATTATTACAATAATACATGGCATAGAACTATAAACATGAAACCAGTGGAAATGAAAAATGATATTTCAAAAGAATGGGAATATATTAGAAAGCAAATGGAAAGGTTGAATGATGTTAAACGTGAACAAATTAATTCGGGGCTCATGAATTTTAAACAAGGGATAAAGTTTTGATTCATCTCGATTATGGAAAAACTGATAAATCAATGACAAAAAGAAGACGAAGATTTGACACAATAGCTGAATTTGTTAGATATATTAACGGCAATGCATTAGTTGAAGTTGACAATAAATTAATAGAAATTCCGATTATTTTATTACTCCATTATATTTAAATAATATTTAATTTTTTTATTTCGTAAGAAATGAGTGACAAAAAGCAGCCAAGAGCCCAGACAATGAATATAAAAAGAAACTAAACAGAATTAAATCAAAAATATGCTATTGCAAAAAGAAGCCGCAATGCGGTGGGGCTGAAAACGATAAAGAGAGGAAAGAAATAATCGAAAATTAGAAACTTACCGTTCAATCCTTAAACTGAGTGAAGCAAAAATAAAAGAATTTAATAGAATAAATAAATTGATTGGAAGAGATGAATTTAATAAAGATGAATTTTTAAACTCTATCCAAATTTAATTTTTATTCCTCTTCCCGAACCCTTCCGGGTTCTTGCATCATTTTTATCATTTCCTCCCTTGTTATGATTCGTGGTAAATTTTGAGCTTGTGGGGTATCCATTTATATAAAAATAAAATTTTGTTATCAGTTATTTCTGCAGTTCATTCGGTAAGCCTTGACCCAAAGGTCTGGGCTCAAGCACATTCATTGAACGCGGTACCATGCGAATATAGTCACAAATGGTGGCATGTA